CCCTCCAAAAAAATGAATTTAAATAAAATTATTTCTTCACTCAACAATTTTTGGTAGTATACTCTTGCAGAAGACCTAGGGCAGAAAAACAATTTAAATTTTTTCTCTCTAATTTACAGAACACACTTGCTAATAGACCTAAATATTTGCAATAAGAGTTGAATCTAGATTATATTTATAACAAAATGAAACTAATTTAACCCCAAAATCCCATTACAAGATCCTTTTAAAATCTCTTTTCAAGTCTTTTATTAGGTACCTGTATTCTCTGCCTTTGAAATTGTTTAAGTAACTGCCCTTTTTATTTTTCCCTGTAGTTTAGTGCTTAAGAGTTAACGTTTTTTATGTTTTTGCTTTTTTTCTGGTATTGGTCCTGAGGCTTGAACTAAAGGCCTAGGTGCTGACCCTCAGTTCTTCTGCTCAAGGCTCAGACTCAACCACTTGAGCATGGTTACGCTTCCAGCCTTGTAGTAGTTTATTGGAGATAAGAGTCTTACAGACTTTCCTGCCCAGGCTGGCTTCGAACTGCAATCCTCATATCTCAACCTCCTGAGTAATTAGGATTACAGGCATGAGCAACCAGCACCTAGTATATGTTTTTGCATTTTATTCCAGTGGTATGTGTGTTACAAAATGTATATGTTTGAGAACACATACTCACAATTATGTAATCCATATGTATCAAATATAGCACACACAACCACATATATGCATTTTTAAAGTAAACATTTGTCACTTAAAGTTGCTCTTTCAAATAAATGTATTAATCATGTTTGTACAATGTTGAAAATGCAATGTCCTTGAAAGGAAGGGATTTCAAAATTCAAAAATTAGATAAAGAAATAACACTTTCTAATGTTCAAAACAGCACAGATTCATACCTGGTACCTGAATATTATCTCCGTACCTGAATTTTTTCTCCAAAATAACAATCTCTATTTTTATTTACAATGTGTTTATAGTTCAATCTCCATCCCACCCTCTTGCTTTTAAAGACTTAATTCAAGGAACCTGATTTCTGGATAAGAGTCTTCTTGCTACCTCACGTTATGAAAAACTAACTCCCCATTGTGGGTAATAGAAAGCATTTAGTCTCCACTGACGCTGTTGATAACTCTCTAGGACTGTGGAAAAGACAGAATTAATCCAAGGTCCCTGGGGACAAGGAATGGAACTTGACTTTTTCTCCATAGTACCAAAGTCCTGGAAGTTTCCTATCATAAGTAGTTCCTGTCCACTTTTCCAATTTGTAGAGATGTGGATTCAACCAAAAAGTATGTTTAGGGTTTGGTTTTCTCAGGTACTCACAAAAATCAAATATCATATCCAAGAAAGAACTGTTCTTCTGCCCTGTGGACAGCACCATAAAGCAAAACACCATGGCCCAAGTTCACCATGAGGGGGTATATCATGTTCAGATTCTATTTATAAGAGATACAGCAAAATTTAGACAAATATACTATGATCCCTGTCCCAACCAGGATTTAAACCAGAAATGAAAATAAACCAGAGAGAGCAGCTGCATGCATGGGGAAGAATGATGGCGTGCATGGCAATGATTGGCAGATTTAGGGATGGAGCACTGGTGAGATTCTCACCCTGAACTTTCTAGGCTCATGTGGGTAAGAAGGGAGTGGAGATCCAAGGCCAGTCAGGGGAAAAGGGTTATCACAATCCTATTCAACAAACAACTGGACACAGTGGTGGTAATCATTAATCCCAGCTACTAGAGATGCAGGTGCAGGCCGGCCAAGACAAAAAATGCAACCATGAGGCCAGACAGGTATCTGTGGCTCAGTCAAAGGTTGCAGACAGAGGATCATATATGGTTCAAAGGCAGCCTGAGTATAAAAGCTCTAGTCATTCTATCTTTACTTAACCAGCAAAAAGCCAAGCTGGAGGCATGGCTCAAGTAGCAGAGTGCAGACAGCAAACCAAGACATAATACAAGCCATTGAGTTCAAGCTCCAGAACTGGCAAAATAGCTATGCATCAGTGGCTCATGCCTATAATCCTAGCTACTAAGAAGGTTGAGCTTTGAAGGCTATGATTCAAAGCCAGCCAGGGCAGGAACATCCCTGTGAGACTTTCATCTTCAATTAATCACCAAAAATAAATAGATATACATGTAAGTAGAGCAGTGGCTCAAATGCTAGCCCTGAGGAAGAAAGCTCAGGGACAGTGCCCAGGCCCTGACTTCAAGCTCTAGGACTGGTGTGCATGCATGCACGCACACCCACACCCACATTAAGTACTGGCAAAATATAGAATGATAAAAGGTAAAAAAAGGGACAGCAGATGTTCTGATGCAGGCCACCTGTTACAGCTTGTTGTTCAACAAGCTGTAGGCTCTGACTTCAAACCCCAGTACCACACAAGAAAATAAATAGATCAGCAAATAAATAAATAAATAAGTGAAAAAGAGATAAGAGAAGCTACTAAGATGTCATCCATCGGCAACTCATGTCCTCCATAGAGCTCTATGTCCCAGTGGGTAGTGGTTATGCATCCAGGACCAGGAAGCTAAGCCAGTGCCCACCCCACCCACCCTCCTGGGAAGCTAGAATGTGACCTCCCATTGTCTCCATCCTCTTACCCAGAATCCTGGAAGGCTCTTCTAGGAAGGGAGGGGCCCCAAGGCATGTTATAAGAAGGACTGGCAACATGGTCCTTGCTCAGCAATGGCTCTAAAGCCACCAAGGAGATCTGAACAGGCGGAGAGACAGAGACTACAGGCAAGGTCGCTGTACTGTGGCAGGCAGAGAGGTTGAGGGCTGGAAGAGCTCAAAGAAGTAAGAGGAGGAGCGCCCCCTGGAGGCTGCAAATGTACTGTGTCTTGAAAGCTTGTCACCTGGTGTTGCTCTGGGGCTGTCACTTTTCACAGCAGCTCAGAGTTCCTCAGCTGGGAAAACCAAACTCTGAGATCACACCCTCACCCCCACAGGACACACACACACACACACACACCACAGAGGAATTTACAACCCAGAAAGTGGGGATATACACCTTCAAAAGTGAAGTGCTTAAGAAAACACACACCCCTTTTATCTGTTTACCCTCTTAAAAATCAATGGTTTTTCTGAGTCTCCTTAGTTCTGGGGAGAATAGTGGCTCCCTAAACTGATCAACCCTGGGTGTGTATTACCTAGAGGCTCTTGTGTCTCGTTTTCTCATAGGCTGGCTCTGAAGCGAAACATGGAGGATTAAAAAAGAAGTTAGAAAAAAGAGAATAAAAGAAAAGGTAAAATTATTTTAGCAGGGTTAATGCCAAACTTCCTACCTAAAGCTCTTCACTATAGAGCCACTGCGCCCTCTTGTGGTCTACTGTGCCAACAGGCTGTTTTAGGGTTAGAAGAGGTTTAGAAATGTCCGTTCTAAACCTGTATTTCAAGTCCTTGACCTGTCACCTTATACACTTCCCCCCCCCCCCCCCCCCAGGACTCACCCTTGAACTTCAAGGGCTAGGACTGTGGCTTGTTGGCAGAGTGCTTGTCTAACATGTATGAAGTCCTGGATTCCATACCACATAAACAGAAAAAGGTGAAAGTCAAGTGGTAGAGTGCTAGCTTTGAGGCAAATAAAGCTCAGGGACAGAGGCCAGGCCCTGAGTTCAAGCTCCAGGACAGGCACCCTCCCCCCACCAAAAAAAATAATTTTGAGGTGGTTTATAAAGTATGAAGGGACAGAGGTTTTGTTAGTTCAAAAAGAGCAGTAAGAGATGGTGGGGAAATAAATGCTGACCAAGAACTTGGTGAGTGACTATTAGAGACATAACTTGTGGCTCTTGCTGTAGGCCTCTTTATGTTAGCTACAGTGAAATAGTTTCAATGTTACTTTTCTCCAAATACACATCCTAAATTTGTTGCTGTGAAATTTTATAGTCACCCAGTAATGTGGAGATGTGGCTGTGGTAAGTAAAGAGTCTTTATGAAAGGGTGCCTGTGGCTTTTGTGGCCACTATTTTCATTAAATATCAGCATCTTTCAGTTGGGGGTATATTGTTCCTTTGAATCGTATATTCTACTAATTGTTATTATATATTCTTATTATGTATTCTGGCTAAGTGGGGAATGTTCAGAAAAGAAGTGTGAGCTGGCAATGTTTACAATGCAAAGTTTGCAGTCTTCACATACCTTCTTTCATTGCATCTTAGGTTTGACAACCTATCAGTTTCTTTCTTTTTAAGATGTTTAGTTGGGCAGAAAAGCCCATATTTTGATGACCTTTATTTATCTCCTTTGATAAGGCTTAGTTTAGTCCAAGGATGAGTTCTGTCAAATGCTTTACTTGAGACGAAAGTCCCTTCCCCCAAACATACACAGTCAGAGAAAGTGCAAAGCTAAAAGTATAGTGAGACTTCCCATTACCTGTTAGAGTGGTACTTATTCTTAGCTCCTGGCTCTTAGCTCCATTTAGATTGGATTTTAGTTTGCTTTTGTTTTCATGCATTCCGTTCCTGTTCTATCCTGCTTCAGAAAGGTTCTTGGAACACAATATTAGATTTAAATGATTATTCGAAGAATTAATGAATCCTTTAACATTTGACATTCAAAAATTTGCTAAATTAAATTCAAAAACATTCCTCAGTAGAAAATATACATGTACATTTACCTGGAGGAGTGTGGTTCCAGTGATACCATGATTGATGAGCAAATGCAAGGCTTTGAGTTCAAACCCCAGTACAACCACACACATACACACACGCGCACACACACATACACACACAAACACATGTACACATGCGTGCATGTGCATGCACACACACAGACACAGGTTGCAATTTTTGCTTATTGTTTTGAAACAAGATTATGTCTTTGAGATTTACATTTAATTAACATGTCATTAACAATAACGTTAAATATGCTTAATATTTATACTTTTTTACATTATTAAAATATTTTAGAGTATCCTGTTGTTAAATGACAGTTATTCTGGAAATGATTCATTTTAAAAAAACATCCTCATAGCAAAGTTAGGAATACAGGAAGTGTTTCGTATCATTTTATTTCACTAAAATTTCATTTATTCTGGATTTCATTAGCTTATTGGTCATCCTCACATTTTTCTAAGTAATCCTAACTAAAATCTTACAATCTCTTTTATCAATGAGATGTGAAAAAGAATCAAGAGGTGATTATTGCTGGCCAGCCTCCAGTGAGACAAAGCCTCTGTAGTTATTGATGGCCACTTGAAGAGCTTTCCTCATCCTCTTCATTGTAGAGTACTTAGGCAGGAGTAGAATATTATGACAAGTCAGTGATCTTGGTATATCATTTTCACTGTAAGTTTCAGGACAGCAAAATCGTATTCTGCTATCATTCAGACCTCTCACAGACAGTCTATCAGTTCCTGTAAGAAACACTTGAAAAGAATAAAATTTGGTTAAGATAGTTCATAGCGGAAAACTTCAAATGGGAAGGAAGACAATGGTTTTCCATAAAGGTTTATTGTATATGCTTCTATGGCAAGAACTACATGAGGCCAGGTAAAATATACAAAATCAGGATATCTGGTTTTGGTTCTCCATGAGTCATGATGGTAGAGAAATTATTAACAAGAAAATACAAAAGCAAATATAAGGAAGTTTAATTGAGCTGCATTAGAAATATGAAGGACTGAGAGAGCAGGAAGTTCACTGAGGTCAGACTGGCTAGTTTTCTAAAAGAGGAATGAGGTGAGTCTTCAAATGTTCAGGAAAAAACAAAATGGAGTAGCTCACAACACTAGCTCACAACACTTGAAACGGAGTGGAAGGCCATTGTTAATGAGATCACAGACAGGCACAGCTGGACCTTTGAACTGACCTTCTACATGCCTGCCCTCTGGAAATTGACCTTGAATATGTAGCTAACCTTCCGTGATATAATGGATATAATGGACTCCTTCTTCCAAACTATGAAGAGATTAAGATCAATCCTTTTCTTGCAAGACTGATGATTCTTTGCCAACACTATCATAACTCCTACCAATGCATGCAATTTCCAACCCATTTGCAGCTAGGAATAGAGACTGTTGGTAAAATCTTTTTTTTTTTTTTTTTTTTTTGCCAGTCTTGGGCTTGAACTCTCAGCCTGGGCGCTGTCCCTCAGCTCTTCAGCTCAAGGCAAGCACTCTACCACTTGAGCCACAGCGCCACTTCTGGCATTTTCTACTTATATGGTACTGAAGAATCAAACCCAGGGCTTCATGCATGCAAGGCAAGCACTCTACACTGAGACCAATGATAAAATTTGAATCAAGTTGGGAGGCTAAGTGGAAGAACGAGAGCTAGAAGCTGGCAAGGCATTAACAAGACCTCATCTCAACCAAAATTTGGGGATAGGTGACACATATCTGTCAACCCACTACAGAGAGAAGTGTAAAATAGAGAAGGCTCAAGATACAGGCTAGCCTAGGCAAAATATAACCACAGCAAAAAGGGCTGGAAGTGTGGGTGAAGTAGTAGAGCACCTGCCTAGATACAACCTAAGGACTAAGAGATGAGAGACTGGCTGGGTGCCTGTAATCCTAGCTACTCAGGAGGTTGATATCTGAGGCTACTAATTCAAAGCCAGCCAGGTAAGGAAATTTATATGACTCTCCTTTCCAATTAAACAGTCAAAGGCCAGACATTAAGATGTGTCTAAAATGGTAGAGTGCTAGCCTGGAGCAAAAAAACTAAAGGACAGCACCCAGGCTCTGAGTTCAAGCCCAAGTACCTGATACTAAACCAATCAACCAATCAATAAATAAGTAAATCAATAAGTAAACAAACTGGAGATGAGACTGCTCAGTGTAGCAAAGATACTAAAATAGCACTGTGTCTAATACTTTTATCAATGGAAGACAGGCTAAGAAAATAATGATGACCTAAAAGCAAGGAGTCTGCCATTGGTACATGTGACCTACTACTAATATGTATAACCTACCATTCATACACATGACCTACTGTTAGGACAAGTAACCTATTGTTAATAGACATGACACACCATTAAAAATGACTTCAACTACTGCAATACTTACAGAGAAATTTTTTCTTTTCAGCCAATGATAATTCGTGGAAAGCCTTCCAGAAAAACTTTATTGTGTGATGTGATTTGTTATATCCTTGCTCATACACTGAATTCTTGAGAGAAAGAAGACAAAAATAGTCTTTAGGGGAAATATGTAAAAATTATTTAGAAAAGACAGGGCACTATAGATAACACACCTACCATTTCAAACTGTTTCCAGTCATAATCAGTATTTCCAATTATTGCTGTCATTAGTTCTTCAGGCTTGAAGAACTGAACCATTTTCCAGTCACAGAGCTTATAAAATCCTCTCTGAAATTCCTCATAAATTGGCTTTACAGAGATGTTGAGAATATAATCAACATACTTAGAAACATAATCTTTCCTTGTGGGAAGAAGAAAAAAGCAAATGAAATATATTACTAGTCTCTAACATAGTCTCCACTTTTTTCTTTTGTTGTTTAATCATTTCTATTGGGAAAGAAAAGTCTGTATCTTCTGCATAGCACAGAGACCTGCATAACAGAGTGATATAAAAGCCTGATCAGCTAGCAGAGGGAATGGTACAGACTATAAACAAAAGGACTGGCATTTTATTGTTACATTTGCTTCCTACCATCCAGAAATTTTTTTAAAGCATTGATCTGAACAAATCCATCATAAATTGAAAACTCCATATATCAAATATGTATTCAATATGTATTATCACCATACTAAGTGTGATAGTTTAGCAATGCAGTCCATTGGAGAGTGTTGGATGTTGTCTTTCCTGATCACAGCTTCCTAATCAACTTCCTGATCAGTCAACAGCTGCCTAGCTACCAGAGTAAGAGGCTTACTTGCTAGCCCAGGGAAAGGTTGAAATAAAAAACTGTGGAGTACAGTTTCTACTAAGTGCATGATACTTCCACACCATTGTTAATCTGAACTACTCTAAGTCATTCTTCTGCTTAAAATCTTCCAAAGACTTCACCCTTATTGTGAATCCAGACCTCCTTCTACCATCAAATCCAGCAGCTCCTGGATGTTAGCTCTATCACATTGACCTTGCCTAAGACTTCAAGCAGTTTGTATATATTATAATGCAATACATTATTTTACTTTCTTGGTGTATATTAATTGTACAAAGTAAAGAATTTCAAGTGATACCCCCATCCATTTATTCATGTTAACCTTTTAAAATTATTGTTATTGTTTTTAAGTAGACATTGTGTTTCCTGTTCACCTGTTTTTCCCTCTCTGTTAGTCATCAGATTTTGATATGATTATGAGTTTTTCAGGGCTGGTCATTCTGTCCCACTTTGTGGGTTTTTTTCTGCATGATTTGCCCTACAAAATACAGATCCCGTTGTATGGTAAATTTCCTGAATGCCAGTTTGGATATGGGTACATGAATGGACTTCACATATTGAAATCTATTCCCCACTGTGTGATATTAAAAGGATAAAATTCTACCTGATTATGGTGCTTAGAGATGAGGTCTTTGGAAGGTAGTTAGAATCATATAGCTTATCACAAGGACCCTCAAGATTAAACACTGGGGGAAGAAGACCAGAAGAGAACTATTAACTAAATAAACCCCTTTTCTTTTTATTAAGTTACCTAGTGTCAGGTATTTCCCTCTAGTAATGAAAAATATACCAATAGAACCCAATCGTTACTGCAGGCATTTTCACCAGAAGCATGTTTGGTCTCTACCTTTCAGTCAGCCTAGTAAACCTTCCTACCTCAATTATTTCTTGATAGTGGCCATTCTAACTGGGGTAAGGTGGAATCTTAATGTTGTTTTTATTTGCATTTCTTTTTTTGGCCAGAGATGTTGAGCATTTCTTCATGAATCTATTGACCATTCTTATTTCCTCTTCAGAGAAGTCTCTCTTAAGTCTTTAGCCCACTTGTTAATGGGGTGGTTGTTTCTTTGGGGATCTATTTTGGGGAGATTTAAATTTTTTACCTCTAAGTATATTTTAGATATGAGGCCTTTACTAGCATGGCTAATAATGATCTCTCCCAGTCTGTGGGCTTGACACTATGTTGGAAATGAACTGTACAACTTGTGGGGGAGGGGAGGGGAGTAAGGAAGGGTAAGCCAGAAAAATGAGGGAGGGGGGTAAGAGTGTTTAAAAAGAAATATACTCACTACCTTACTTATGAAACTGTAGCCCCCTTGCTCATCACCTTTATAATAAAGATATATTTTTAAGTGACAAAGAAAAAAATCATCTCTAGATATCCTCCCTTGTAACCAGCGATGGGCTGGTAAGTGTTCAACAACCAGTTTTCTGAAAGGAGGGGAAGACAAGGATTGGGGAAAAGAAGAGAGAAAAAGAAGGAGGAAAGGAGGGAGAAAAGAAGAGAGAGAAAAGGAAGAAGTGAAAAGAGAGAAGGAGAAGGAGGAAAGGAGGAAGAAGAGGAAAATGAAGAATTAGGAGGAAGTGAAGGAGGAAGAGGAATGTAGAGGAAGGAGGAAGAGGAAGAAGGAAGAGGAAGAATCTTTTTTTTTTTTCCCTTGGGTCCTGTCGTGGAGCCTGAACTCTGGGCCTGGGCACTGTCCCTCAGCTCTTCAGCTCAAGGCTAGCGCTCTACCACTTGAGCCACAGCGCCACTTCTGGCTTTTTTCATTTTGCTTATGTGATGCTGAGGAATCAAACCTAGGGCCTCAGGCATGCAAGGCAAGCGCTCTAACCACTGAGCCATCTTTCCAGCCCCAAGAGGAAGAATATTATCTGAAGCATTTGTCAGTTTCTGTGGTGCATATATTCTCTCTAAGGCTGACTTCAAGCTACAGGAGCTTTAATAATGAACTACAATTCTTTCAGAAAATTCAGTTCTTAAAAATTGGTTATCAGCTAGCTCCAGTTTACCATTAGTAATCTCTTAGTCCCTTGAATGGCTTTAAGTTTCCCCAGGGTACGCACCCCTACATTACATACCTACATTACATGATGATTTAGGTATATACTTTCTGCTCCACTAGAATTTGTTTCACATTTCTATTTTTCACTGTTTTATCTCTAGATTCCACAATAGGGAAATAGGTTCTTATATAGGACAGAAGCTGAGTAATCTGTGAAATGATAGAAATTACACACAAACACACACACACACACACACACACACACACACACACACACACACACACACACACAGTGCCAGTCCTGGGGCTTGAACCCAGGGTCTGGGTGCTGTCTCTGAGCTTTTTTCCTCAAGGCTAGTGTTCTACAAGGTGAGTCATAGCTCCACTTTTGGCTTTTTTGATAATTAATTGGAGATAAAAGTCTCACAGGCTTTCCTGCCTGGGCTGGCTTCAAACGTCAGTTCTCAAATTTCAGTCTCTAGAGTAGCTAGGATTACAGGCAGGAGCCACCAGCACCCAGTTTAGAAATATTTAATTCTGATTCCTTTGTCCCATTCTCTTACCCTATAATTTATTTATCTTTCTAAAAGACAATGAGTTAATCTACTCATCTGATAAGTCAATAGATATTCTGTAAAGTACAATGATACAAATATTTTATGTATATTTAAAATATATATACGTCTTTAAGGTATATACATCTTATAACTTACTTGTTGGTTTGGTTCACAGGTATAGAGCTTCCATTTGGTACTAAATCAACAGTATTTTCATCCCAGTATATCTGTAACCAAAATGTTTCAGGTATCAAACATAAAAGTAAGTCTCAATAATCATATTATGGGGGCTGGGAAGGTGGCTCAGTGGTAAAGCGCTTGCCTTGCATGCCTGAGGCCCTGGGTTTGATTCCTCAGCACCACATAAGCAAAAAGAAAAAAGCCAGAAGTGGCACTGTGGCTTAAGTGGTAGAGCACTAGCCTTGAGCTGAAGAGCTGAAGGACAGCGCCCAGGCCCAGAGTTCAGGCCCCATGACCAGACCCAAAAAATAAATAAATAAATTTAAAAAAAAATCATATTATGGGAATAATACATTATTCCCATAATGGCTTAACACCAGTTTTCCCTATAGAAATTTAAATAATTAAGGTCAATTGTTTATCCTGTTCATTTTTTAAAATACATATTAAAAGCCAGGCACTCGCGGCTCATGCCTGTAATTCTAGCTAAACAGAGGGCTCTGAGGTCTGAGAATCACAGTTCAAAGCCAGCCCAGGTAGATTAATTAATCATCAAGAAAGACAGATGTGGAGCTGTGGCTCAAGTGGTAGAAAACCAGCCTTAACCTAACAAGCCAACCGAGAGCACACACCTGAGTTCAAGTCCAAGTATTAGCACAAAAATTAATTAATTAAAATTTTAAAAATTATTCAAATATATAATTTATAATTATTTAAGGCATAAGTTATTCTGTTTAGCTTTTTAGATTGTTTACATTAATTGAACAATTACTATACCTTTTAGGGGAATCTATAGATATAAATTATCAAATAATTAGTGAATGGGCAGGGAAATTTCTGCAGCACAAAAGTAAATAGTCTTTCAAAAGTATGGGCACACCATATATGTAAGATTCTATATTAAAAATAATTTTAATAAGAAAGGTTAGGGCTGGGTATGTATCTCAGTAACATAGCACTTACCTGGTATGCATAAGGCTTCCCCCCCACAAACAGATTAAAGTAAAACTATAATCAAACTTATTACTCACAGAAAAATAAATGTCAGCTTCAATGACATCAGCTTTACAATTAAGAATTTCCTGTAGACTCCTGTGAAAAATTCGATTAAAAAATTACATTTGTTGATCTTATAGTAAATGTTCAATGGGAAAGAATATGAACAGTCCAGAAATGTATCAAATGCAATGTAATATTCTCTCTTTCTACCCACAGTTCTTGCTGGTGTCAGCTGTCTTTAGTTTCATCAGCTGGACTACTTATTCCTGCCACACAGACTACAGAATCTGATGGCACAGAGCTTCATCCTCTAGACCAGGGATTCTGAACTAGGCCTCATTCTGCCTCCTAGTGGGGATATGGAGGAGACTGGAAACATCTTTGATCTTCACCATGAAAGGGAGGGTAGCTAGTTGCATCTCATGGAGGCTGAACCCTAAAGTTGATAAGTATTCCACAATCTCCAGGAAAGCCCTTCACAACACAGTATTAGCAGCCCGAGGGGGCTAGATTAACTTAGTGATAATTAGCTTGCCTAGCATATATAAAGCCTTGCATTTGAGTCCCTGGAACCTGAAAAATGAAGCAGTAAACAAAAATGTAGCCCCAAATGTCAATGTTGCCAAGACTGAAAAACTCTGTTCTAAGGTAAATCTGGCCACTATATTCTCCCTTGTCTAGTTAAGAAGATAATTCTTTCCCCCAACTTATTGTTGTAAGTGTATTTGTAGAAAAATGATATCTCACTTTTGCTTTTTCAGTAACTAATGAAGTAGAGCATGCTTTCAGTTTTTGATTTGCCATCTCTATGTACATACTTACATCACCGGTCTGTAGTCTGACAATGTTGTGTGAAGACACACTTAGGACATATATCATGAACTGTTCAGAGTAACTATTTCCTACCTTGATCAAGTCAAAAGACCGGGCTAACACTAAAGCTACCAGCACAACCATGTTTGTTGCAGCATTATTTACCATAGCTGAGATATGGCACTAACCTAGATGAATGGATCAAGAAAATGTGGTGTATATACACAATGGAATTCTATGCTTTCATCAGAAAGAAAGATATTACAGTCATAAGGAAATATATTAAGCAAAATAAGCCAGACCCAAAGAAATACAGGCTGTGTGATTTTCCTCATTTGTAATATCTAGACTATGTCTATGATATTCTTACAGGAAGATCACAATAACTCAATAGCTAGGTACATAAAATGAAGCTTATCAAAATGAACTCCAAGAAATGGAAACAAGAGGGGTTTTTTTTATAATGCATTGTTTGCAGTTATTTCTTTTCTTTCTTTCTTTTTTTCCCTTTGGTTTATGCCCTATTGTCACCATTTTTTATTTCTGAACACTTTGTCTTGTATATAAGTTTATCGGATTTGGAGAAGGGAAGAGGAAGTATAGAAACAATAGGACAAAGGGTAAACCAATGCAACAGTGATACTCACTAGATATTATGTTGGAAATAAAGGAGAGTCAAGGCAGGGAGGGGGAAGTGGGAGAAAGTGAGAGAAGGGGAAACACTGTTCAAAACGAAATGTACTCATTGCCTTACTTACATAGCTGTAACCCCTCTATATATCACCTTTACAATATTTTTTAAAAGACAAGTCTAATTTAGATTAGAATAATTCATAACTAGAGTATATTTGGCTTGTATTAACATTTGAAGGTTTACTCTAAGTTATGCTAAAATTCGAATTCATTATCTTGACCTAATCTGTCTGATGGGTCTCTCCTTGTGTAATTTTTTGGACCTAAACAGTTCAGACTTCCTAGGTATATTCCCAAGAAAGAAAATACATTTACTTACTTCCCCACAAGAGGACTGAGATCTTTCAAGTCTTCCAATGATGGTTTTTGGTCTAGAAGTTTTTTATACAACGACAGTGGGAAAGGAAGATTGGCAGGATTGGAATTTAATAGGGAGAGCCCACATAATATTCCAAAGAGATAATATTTCTTCTTCTCAAGCTTAGGCTGAAAAAGAAGAAAAATCTTTTCTGTGAATGTTCATATCAATTAGACAAAGGAATATACTAAAAAAGAGAAATACTAAGCCAGTTGCCGGTGGCTCATGCCTGTAATCCTAGCTACTCAGGAGGCTGAGATCTGAGGATTGCAGCTCAAAGCCAGTTCAGGCAGGAAAGCCCATGAGACTCTTATCTCCAATAAACCCTCAGAAAACCAGAAGTGGTGCAGTGGCTCAAGTGGTAGAGTGCTAGCCTTGAGCTGAATTGCTGAGGGACATTGCCCAGGTCCAGTGTTCAAACCCCAGAACCAACAAAAAAGAGAGAAAATATATTAGTTTCCTTTTCTAAAACCCCAAAAGAAACAAATTGAACATGAGGAGAATAGAATTTGAAATTCTTTCATAGGTAGAATACAATATTTCCTCTGCACTTTTCAATGCACATTAATATTACATAAGTGAATTTATTTTCTGTTACTTATGGAATATCTGAAATATACAACATATACTCCAAGTCATAAACTAAGTTTTTCATGATTTAATTTTATAATTAATTCTTTCCTATTCATGGACTGAACAACACTGAGAAAGGAAGTATATACTTTCTCTTCACTTCTGGACAGCGTCAAATATTCATATAAGAGTTCTTTAAATGTTGTCCCTTTGGAAACAGCCCACAACCTGGTGTGCCAGCAGGGCCAAGGCAGAGAAAGAAGCCCCTAACGTTGCCCATCCTGGAGGAGAATGGAAGGAAGAGGAAGAAGAGGAGAGTCCTGGTTAAGTTGGTGCAATCAATTGGGTATGATTTCAGTGTGTCACCAAAGTATTCCTGTGTTGGAAGTCTGGTCCTTCCTGTGGCAGTGTTCATAGATGGTTGGGCTTAGTGGAAAGTCATTAGGTCATTAGGTCATTGGATTGTGCTTTGGGGAGGGATATACATAGTTCTCAAAGGACTCCAGTTTTTCTCTGGCTTCCTGACTCACCATGTAATTATTTCACCTTCAAAATCTCCTGCTTTTAATGCCATCTCTTCACTCCTCACCAGATCACTGAACTGGTGTCAGTGCCAAGTTGTTGAACCTCTACAAGTGTGAGTTAAGTGTACTTCTTTTCTTTATAAAGCAACCAAGCCCAGGTGATTTGTTACAATCAAAATAATGAAAACTGACTAAATCTGTTGGCTTTAGTTCTCCATTCCTTATAACCCTGGATATGAGAAAAATCCTAGGTCCTTCTGTCTCAACCATAATCAACCCTACAGAGACACTACCCAGAAAATTCTATGATTTCCAAGTATCCCAGTGCCAGGGTTGCTACCAGCAAGTCCCCAACCTTGGGGTCTCATACAATATTAGCCTTCATGATGCACTTGCCCTATTTACTTCTCAGTGGGAGGATAAGTGTGCATCTGAATTTTCAAAATGAGTTTAAAAATACAAGTAATCTCCAAAAGTAGCCTCGCCTAACCTAATTAGTGTCTTTTCCCCCCATAATTCCATAATTTGATTTTGTCACTTAACTGATCCATACCAATTTGAAAAATAATAATCTCTATTTCCTAGCCCAGCAGGACAGTATAATGCTGAAGAGTAAGGACTTTGGCAGTTGTGGTCACACATGCACTAGGGGGCTGAGGTAGAAGAATTGAGAGTTCAAGTCCAGCCTAGGCTATGTCGAAAAAACCTTCTAGTCTCAAAAAACTCACAAAACAAGTAAGAGCTTTGGCATTAGAAAGCCCTAACCTCATAGTGTGACTTGGTTACTTGCTAGTTGTGTGGACAATTGATTAAATCAGTGTGTACCTCAGTTTCTCCATCTGTAAAATGAGATAAGCCATCCATTCCTCAGGATTGCTGAAGAGCTCAATATTCTCTTTTCTACACCCACCTTTACATTTCTTCAGTCTATGAGTCCCTGTCCTTAACCACCAACCCCAAGTCTCCACTTGGCCATGATATTCTTTTCAATCACTTCTTTTTTATTTCTTTCTGTCTTAAGAAAGAATCTCTTAAATTCATATATTCCATGGAGGAAGAGAGGGATGGAAGGAAATAAGGAGGAAGGAAATGAGAAAAGGAAATTTCAGATAATCAAATAATATTGGACAGACATGTTCATTATTTAGATTGTGTAGTTTTTTGAGTATATACATATATCAAAACATCAAATTAGACACTTTAAGTGCAGTTTATTGTATCTCAGGTATCATCTGTGCTATTCAAGATTTAACATAGGAGCCAGGAAGTAATGGCTCATACTTGTAACCCTGGCTACTCAGCAAGTTGACATGTGAAGATCAGGATTTGAAGCCAACCTGGACAGAAAAATCCATGAAACTCTCATCTCCAATTAACCATCACAATTCTGGAAGTGGAGCTGTGGCTCAAGTGGTACAGCAGCAGCCTTCATTAAGGGATAGCACCCAGGCCTTGAATTCAAGCCAAAGAAAAGAAAAGAGGAAGAGAGGGAGGGAAGGAAAGAGAGAGAGAGAGAGAGAGAGAGAGAGAGAGAGAGAGAGAGAGAGAGAGAGAGAGAGAGAGAGAGAAACCTGAAAGCATGAATTAGATTCAATCCCAAGTACCAAAAAGACATTAACATGTGCATGAATCACTTGGGGATCTTATAAATACAAGTTTCAACTCTGTAAGTCTGGAGCCAAACCAGAAATTTGTGGGAAGGGTTGTTTAGAAGCAGGATCTAACTATGTATAGCCCAAGCTGACCTTGAACTTGCAATCTTCCTGCCTCAGCCTCACAAGTGCTGAGATTACAGGCATGTGTCACCATGACTGGCTAGGCTTCTGCTTTTTCTAAATGTTCCAGGAGAGGACATAGCTGCTGCTTTATGAACCATATGAATATTTTGAGATTCGGTACAGCCCAATTTTAAATTATTTTCTATAGTTTTATATTGCAATAAAGAGCACACTCTTCTGTTCTGAAAAAACCGCAAAAGAAATTAAAAACTTACATTGGTAGGAAACCACATGTAGGAACCATTATCAGGATATGTGAACAATCCATATTTAGGGTTGGTCATCTCTTCAAATATACAATGGAAGAACTCAAAGATGACTCCAGTCTCAGGACGAATTTCATCAATAAACCCAACCTATAGAATAAAACACATTTCCAGGCTTTGATTTTAATATGCTGCTCACAACAGGAAGATGAAGGAGTGGGAAAGAGAAAGAAATAGAGAGGTATATTCTGAGTAAAATGTAACACATATACCTCTGAAATATCATGCTGAAACCCCTTGGTACAATTAACACACATGCAGGAGAAAAAATAAAACAGGCTCTCTTGGGGACACATACCATGGGAGGGGGAAGGTAAATGCAGAAAATAGAGAGATAAAAATGAGTGAGATGATTAGAGTCCACTTGCCTCAAATAGTTCCCCTTTACATTTAAGTCACTTGTTTCTTTAGGCCTAGATACTGAATATAAGAAAAAAATGTCATCTGCAAAGAGGGAGAGTTTTACTAAGAATGACATTGCCCCATTTGTTAGGAAATGGAAAGACTTGGAAAAAAAATTAAGTGATGTAAGCCAGGCCCAAAGACACATAGGTCCCATGGTTTCCCTTATTTGCAATAACTAGTATATGTCTGAGTCAAGCAGAAAAGGTCAGTTAAGTTGATGTTAGGGAAATGAACCCTAAGATATGTATTCAAATGTTTTTTTTTCTTTCATGCGATTGTTTCTAACACATTTATAAGATTATTTCTTTGTTGCTTTGTATGTCCCTCCCCCACGGTATAACCCCTGCTTTCACTGTATTTGATGTTGTTATAATTTGTGGAGGGGAAGGGAAAAAACAAATCGTTTAAATAGGGATACAAGTGGACCCATTGCAACAATGAGACGTACAAGTCGTTATGTTGAAAACGAACTTTACAACTTTGGTGGGGGGGGGGAGGGGGAGGAGGGTTAGGTGGGAGGGTGGGGGAAGATGGGATGGGAAGGGGAAACAAAGGAGGAGGCTACAATGCTTGATAAGAAATGTACTCATTATCTTGCCCATGTAATTGTAACCCCTCTGTACAGTATATTCACAATAAAAAATAAAGAAAAAGAAAAAGAAAAAAATGATGCATGTTTCTTTCTGAGCCTGGTGTGTAATTTTTAATGGAAGTACTCTTACTTTTTTTAACCTATGTTCTTTTTCTATTCTCATTGCCTTGGAGAGCTTATCTGCTAATCTTTGATCAAACTTCATGGTGACAACCATCACAGTTAAATGCTGTCTCATCTTCCCCTCTGTATAGCCTGCTAACAATTTCAGCTTACTTCTGATTTTCTTTCTTCTGCTAACTTAAAAACAAGTCTGCTTAAGTCATTGTCAAGACTCACTCATAATTAGTCTTGGGAATCTTACCATGCTCCAAGTCTATATTTTAATTTGATCTATCTTAAAGTTAACTGTGTTACTTCTTGGTCATCTACAGGGCAAATGATTTTCTATTGATTTTCTCAACAGTCAAAATACAAAGAAAAACAGGTAGAGAAGAAGTCACATGATTAGAAAATCTGGTTTATAAAATACTTTCTTTGATAATTATTGGCATCCCATACATTTCCCAACTACTGGGAAATGTCTTTATCTCTCTAGCTCCTATACTCCAAGCTCTGATTTCTTCTCTAAAAGCCTATTTCCTCATGCTAGTATTAGGGAAAGCCACTACTTTCTATGAAGACTCCAGCTTTTCCTCACAGTTAAACAGTATTCTATTCTGTATTAATATGATGAAATATCTGATGTACCATACAGTTAAACACCCTGAGAGCATCCACAAAAGATTAGATGAAGGGTGACTGTAGTTAAACCTGTACAGTAAAAAGTCCCTAACTAAAACCACAGCTCAAATGTAGAAGCATGTATTCCACAGGCTGCTCTTGATTATATGAATAGCTATAATTTCCTACCTCTCCTGATCAAAGGCCTTTGCATATGATTTTGTATTTCCTCCCACTGAAGTTGTATATATTTCTTTAGCCCTTCACTTGGTCTCATCTAGGAGACTTGACTCATGTTGTGTTTGTTGAGTGATTGCTGTCTTGTACCTCCCATGCTGCTGTGAAAAGACCTTACTTGCTGACCCCAGAAACAGTATGAAGGGAATGCAAAACAGAGCTCAACTGTCCCAGGCTAGCCTACATAGATCAGCCAATCCCTATCCAGCTCTCAGCCATATAAATACACCCATACCACATTTGTGGAGCTTAGGATGAAGCTCTCTGGTCAAGCATTTACATAGGATACAAGATCTGAGTTTGATCCCAACACTGTAACGCAACAACAAAAACAATAGATCTTCCGACTCCCTAATGATAAATGGAGTCTATATCAGGATATCTATGAGTTAGATTGTTATTTTAAGCCATTAAACATTAGGATAGTTCAATAGATAACATTTTCTAGCCATTAATACCTTAGTTAACTCTACTTTTTAAGTCCCATTGTTAGTCTCTGAGGTTAACAAGGGAAATTCTGGTAGAAGGATAATCATAACTACAAATGCAGGCTTTTTTTTAAACACTCTTTGCTATATTAAATGAATTTATTCCTGCTTATTGCCACCAAATTATTTTTTATAGTACCAAAGAGGGTTTTTATAGTACCAATAAGGGTTTCCAAAGATCGGAAATTTCAGCTTGGCTTAACTGACGCAGGGCATCTTCAATTATGTGAGACCGTCTGACCTTCAGTTTAAACATCCTTAGTTCATTGTTCATTAACATACTTGCTGGCCCCTGATTTGGACATGTCATTTCTCCTGATTTCTGAAAGAAAAAGAAAAGAAAAATAGCTAGCTTTGTCTGTTGTCTTCTAGAAATTCCAAGGTTTAATATTTTTAATGAAACATTCTGCACAGTGTATACATAATCTTTCTGCCACTGCTGTATGTACTTATACTGTAACTACTTGAGAAAATTACACTGGATCTTTACTAAGGAAGATAAAGCCATTAATTATAGGATCAGAGAAACTATAGCACCAAGGAATCATATATCAAAATTAGTTACCAAAGATAAGCAACTATGCAATTAGATATATTTCAGATCACCTATGGTAACAGAACTTTAAAAGGCAATATTAGTATCAAACATGCTAAGACAATCATTCATCACCAATCTTAAGAAGTACAGTGTTAGTTGGGCACCTGTGGCTCAGACCTGTAATCCTACCTACTCAGAAGGCTGACATTTGAGAATCATATTTCAAAGTCAGCCTGGGCAAGAAAAGTCTGTGAGACTGTTATCTCCAATTAACCCTTAGAAAACTGGAAGTGGTGCTGTGGTTCAAAGTGGTACAGCGGTAACTTTGAGCAAAAGAGCTCAGAGACAGAACCCAGGCCCTAAGGTCAAGCCCCATGATAGACAGACAGATAGACAGACACACACACACACACACACACACACACACACACACACACACACACACACACAGAAGTACAGTGTTGGCCTTGGGTGGTGATACATGCACATCGGGAAGTAGAGGTAGAAGAATCATGGTCTAAAAATGATTTAAAGCTAACTAAATAACACAAAACTGGGACCATGACACATATCTGTAATTCTAGCTACTCAGAAGGTTGAGAACTGAAGACCACAGTTTGAAGCCAGCCCAGGCAGAAAAGTCCATGAGACTTTTATTTTCAAGTAATACCAAAGAGCTGAAAGTAGAGCTGTAGCCTAAGTGGTAGAGTACCAGCCTTGAGTAAAAAAGCTGAGGGATGGCAATCAGGCCTTGAGTTGAAGCATCAGTATCAGCACAAAAATAACTACATACATACATACATACATCTCAGTACTGGGAGATGTGGGGGCAGAGAACATAGTGTTAGCTCCATAACCCTCAGGAACAGAAGGGCAGTTTCACTTTGTTGGGGGCTTGAGGATAATATTAGCTGTAGAAGATGAGAACAAAGACTTGCGCAAAGAAGTGCACACTTTGCCATCAAGTAACTGCGAGATCCACCCACTTACTCTTGTAATCTGTTTGGAACTTCCAAAACCATGCCACACGCATATACCCCACTAATATCAATATTAAGCTTTTCTGGATTCTCAGCCAGATCTTGCTCAATTCCTTTGCATAGAAATGCAATCATAGACTTGCTATTCTTGCTTTGATCTTCAATATTCCTCTAAGATATTTGATGAGAATGATAAAGGAGTATTTAGGAACTCATAACCTATACAGCTTTCCTACAACAGTGAGCAACACCAGAAGATAGCAAAGTTCTCCCACTCCAGAGCACTAGGCTTACTGAGGTGAACCACATTAGCTTTCTCAGAGCACCCAGGGAAGGAGCACATGATCCTGGCCCTGGGAGATCCCCAGAGCAGATATCTTCCACCTACATGCTAAGAAGCAGTATGATTCTCCTAGATTGTTCTGTTTTCCCTTGAATTTCTCTTTAAGAAGCTCTAGGTTTGTATGAGATGGAGCAAGTCTCTCCTTTTTGGTGGTAGGCCACCTGGAGTAAAGGAGGCTTCAGTTACTGACCACTGAGAAACATGGTCAATGACTGAGTGACAGAGAATAGCCAGCATCGTTCTCTATTGACGAAAGCAGGGAGAGGAGCTGTGGACACCCTGCATATCAGCTTACATTCTAGCTTCTCCATTGCTGGTCTCTATGCGTTTCCCTTTCCCTGTGTATTTGAATTTGTAACCTAGTTTAGACCTGACCGTTTTGACTTTGGTCTTCATCTGTCCTTTGGAGAACCAGATTGTGAGGTCTGCTTCTAAGGAGAATTACAACGAGGAGCTTTCTTTCCCACTCCAACCTGTCTGTGTCTGGTGTCCATATAACTACTCACTAACAGCGTAGACTGATGAGACATTATTGTAGAAGAAAGCACATGGAAGACTTGGTGAAGGAAAATATATGGGAAGTTAGATTTGGGGAGGAAAGATTGTATTACCAGGGATGTTAGGAATGAAACTGGAAATGATCTGGTGAAACCTATCTATAATGATACAGAAGGTCATATGAAGAAAAGAAAGGGAAGAAATGCAGTCAAAAATACAATTAAAGTTCGTTTTTCGACATAACATCTTGTACATCTCATTGTTGCAATGGGTCCACCTGTATCCTTATTTAAACAATTTTTCCCTTCCCCGCCACAAATTATACCAACATCAAATACAGTGAAAACAGGGTTACCACTGGGGAGGGACATACAAAGCAACAAAGAAATATCTTACAAATATGTTAGAAACAATAGCAAGAAAGAAAAAACATTTGAGTCCTTATCTTGGGGTTCATTTCCCTAACATCCACTTATCTAACTGTTTCTGCTTGTCTCAGGTATATACTACATATTTCAAATAAGGGAAACCATGGGATCTATGTTTCTTTGGGCCTGGCTTATTTCACTTAATATAATTTTTCCAAGTGTTTCCATTTCCTAACTAATGGGGCAATGTACTCATTACCTTGCCCATGTAATTGTAACCCCTCTGTATGGTATTTTCACAATAAAAAAATTTACATTGTAAAGCATAAAAAATTCAATTAATAGCCTCCAATTTTTTAAAAAAAGAGACAGCAGCCAAAAACAGATCTAAAAACAACAACAACAACAAAAATGATAGGTGAAGAAAAAAGTATGGCCCAATGTTGATACCTGTGAATCTTGGTAATAGGGCTCATTATACCAGTGTTTCTATTTTGTGTATGTTTGCACTTCTACAGGACAAAGAGGAAGCCATATGCTATGGCTTTGACATAGTTTGAGTATGTCTCTCAAAAGTTCCTGTGAAGCTTAGTCTCCAGAGTGGGGACATCAGGAGGTGGTGGAAGCCTTATGAAGTTGTGCCAGTAGAAGTTAATTAGGTTGTGGGATCACTACCCTCAGAAGGGATTAATGCTACGATCATAGAGTAAACTAGTTCCTGTAAGAGTACTTGTTATAGCTATGTCACCCAATACAATTAGTCCCTTTAGCACACACACAATTACCTATATTCTGCTTGTATACTATATTGTAATGTAGCAGGTAGGTAGGCTACAGCCTCACCAGAAAGCCCAAATCATGCTCTTGAGCCTCCAGAGTTATGAGTCAAGTAAACCTCTTTACTTGATCAAGTGTCCAGCCTTACACATTTTCTCATAGCAAGGAAAAAATGTAGCATACATACCCATAGTTTCATACGTGAATATATTTGCAATAATTTCATCCTGGAATGCAAATCAAAAATAAATGGAAAGTCGTAGAAAATAGGACTGGAAATTTCTGCAAGTGCCTGAAAAATAATTTAAAATAATGAAAATTTTAATAATAAATTTCTGCAAGGGCCTAACAACTCAAAAAAATCAAACTCTTATCATGTAAATTTTTTCATTGCTTTTGGTATTTGTGCTTAACAAGTTAAATAACCTATAAATAAATTAAGTTACGTATAAACAAATATGTTTGAGAAGGGGGGGGGTAGTCCTGGGTCTTAAATTTAGGGCCTGAGCTCTGTCTGAGCCTCTTTGTGCTAAAGCCTAAAGCTCTACCACTTGAGCCAGAGAGCCACTTCCAGCTTTTTCTGAGTAGATTATTAGAAATGAGTCTTACAAACTTTTCGGTCCTGGTTGGCTTCAAACCCAGATTCTCAGATCTCAGACTCCTGAGGAGCTAGGATTGCAGGTGTGAGCCACCAGCTCCCTGCTCAACTTTCTTTTTTTCTTTTAATTTGCTTGCTATCTTTAAGTAGTTGTACAAAGGAGTTACCATTCAACAAATCAGTATATGAATACAGTGCTTTATTTATTTTTTTTTGTCGGTCATGGAGCTTGAACTCTGGGCCTGGGCACTGTCCCCAAGCTCTTCAGCTCAAAGCAAGTGCTCTACCACTTGAGCCACAGCTCCCACTTCTGGCTTTTTCTGGGTATGTGGCTCTGAGGAATTGAACCCAGGGCCTCATGCTTACTAGGCAAAGCACTCTACCACTGAGCCACTTTCCCAGGCCAACTACAGTGCATTTTGATCAATGTCATCACTTTCATCATTGTCTTCATCCCTACCTAGCCCAACCCCTCCCTCAATTTTCTTACATTTGTAGAATATACATTAAATATTATGACTGCATTTCCTCTCTTCCTCTTTTCATTCATCTACACTAGAGTGAAAGATGTTTAAGTTTTAAGTGATCAATTGATTCAGCAAGTTCATCATTGTAATGAGAAAATTTTCAAATCTTTACTTACAGAGATTTCTACACAGCTACGGTGTCCTACTTTAAAGTCTAAACATGGAAATGAACTTGTTATTCTTACCAGATTTTCATCTCTCAAGAGCAGTCTCTGACTCTCCCTATGAAAGTCAAATGAGTAGTAGAGTCCATCTATGTTGAAAGTGCCTTCTGGAAGTTGACGAGTGTTTTTGTTTACCTTAAAGAAAATATGACTTAGAATTTTAGTTTCTATTAATAAGTGGTATAATTGAAAATATATAGGTATGCACATATAACAAACATTCACAAAGGATGAAGTAGCATTTTATAAAATTTCAATTGCTTACCCTAAATTTCCCCAAGTTTCATAAAGAATTAATGTCAAAGATATAAGGTACTATCAGTGAGAGAATAAATTAATCCCTGGGCTCAGATATTATGAAAAAAATGCTTATAAATTTTGAGGATAAAAATCCAATAGAAACATAATTTTCTTTTAGCAAACTGTGCATTTTCTTCACATATTCAAGAAAAATTATTTGACATCCACTACTATGTCAAACATGGGATAAACCTACATTTAAATATCACCTTTGGGGATAAGCCATACAAGAGAGATTCTGAGCTGGGCTTAAAGTGATGTCTAGATTAAAGGGTTGGAAAGAATGACAGGTTTAAGATGACCAGCAGACAGAAGTGCAGGTTACACAGAGGCTTAAGAAGAATGAGGGCTGCTCACATTCAAACACAGATCCACATTTGTAGGGAAAAGAAAGATGAGTTTAATTTGTCCACAAGGAATTCATGTATTACCTAGGCCTCCAATTATAACTGTGTATTTATTCTTTAAATTCTTCCTTTGTTTTTCAAGAACTCAAACACTATTTTCCAAATGTTTGGCTTACATTCACTAACCTGTACATAAATCACTTCATTTCAAACAATAATTTTCTTTAATTTGAAGAATTTCCTCATAGTGTGCAAAAATAAATTTGCTGGTAAGTGAATAAAGAAATGTAAAGATAGGATTATTTACTACATTGAAATCTCTATAGTGAAAGGTGGAGGCTCAATAGTAGAGCAATTTCCTAGCCTGTGCAAGACTCTAGGAAGGAAAGAAGAGTAGTAGCACTGAGAAAAATAGCTCAGGGACAGCACCAGGCTCTGAGTTCAAGTCCCAGGCACACACATACATAAATACACACACAAACACATACCAAAAACACACCCTTTGTGCTTCAAAGAACACCTATGAGAAAAATAGAAGCTTTGTCATGTGTGATTTAATCATATTTTTCCCATTTTATGCATTGTCTTAAGCACAAAAAAATTTAAGATAAATAAAATACGTAAATAGCCAGTCCATCTATAAAATGATGCCCTGATGACCATCAGAGAAATACAGAGCAAAGCCACAATAAAATACCAGTTTCTTACTCACTTTGGTGACAATAATTCAAACAACAGATAACAAACAAGTGTTGGCAAAATTAGAGAACAAAGGCTGGGAAGGTGGCTCAGTGGTAGAGTGCTTGCCTTGCATGCATGAGGCCCTGGGTTTGATACATCAGCACCACATAAGCAGAAAAAGCTAGAAGTGGTGCTGTGGTTCAAATGGTAGAGCGCTAGCCTTGAGCTGAAGAGCTGAAGGACAGTGCCCATGCCCAGAGTTCATACCCCACGACTGGCAAAATAAAAGTCAGAACAAAATATATAACTTTCTCATCCCTGTGATCAAAATGCAAAATAGTGCCGGTGATTGGAAAACCATCAGTTGTGCCTTGTAAGATTAAGCATAGGACTGTCATATTGAAGTCGGGGATGCTGGATCTGACCTGTGCCATCTTGGCCAAGTTGTAGCTGATAGAGTATTGGGTTTAACTGCCATCTTGTCTTAATAGTGGAGGCAGGGAAGTCCCACCTCCAAGGTGATGGGAGTTCCTGAATTCCTAGAGGCAGGGGCGGGGACTTGGACAATAGGTTACTGGACCTGCCATTCTTGGGTCATGAACTCTCAAGCTCCCTGTGCCCCTGTCCCCTGACCTGACTCAACTCAGGTCTGGACCAGCTCAGGCAAGGTACAACATGCCTCATGTCTCCTGTCTGCTCCTATCCTGTCTCCTGGCTTTCCTCAAGCCAACATGGCATCCTACCTCAGCTCTCCATTGGAGCTGATCTGGGTGGTTGGTATTGTTTTTCTGTTCTTTCTTTCCTCTCCTGCTCTCACGGCTCAGTTTTCTGACAGTGTTAAGTGTATTTGTGGGGCTGCAGGTCTTTGTGACAAAAGTCTTCTTGCATTCACTGGCCTTCTAATAAAGCCTCCCAATTCAACCTCTCAAAATGTGGCTTCTCTGCTTTCTTGCCATATAACAATAAGGGCCAGCAATTCCACTGTTAGTTATATGCCCCTGAGAAATAAAAATATGTGTCTACACAAAAACATGTATAAATAGCAGCATGGTTCATAATAGTTAAGAAGTAAACATACCCCAAATATCTACTAGCTGCTAAAAGGATTAAGGTGTAACATATCCAAGTCTTTCCATTTCCTTGCAAATGGGACATTTATTTGAATTAGGGAATGGTGAGACAAAGAACTAATACAACAGCAATATACACAAGACAATATGTTGGAAATGATCTGTACAACTTCAGAGTATGGAGGGTGGTAGGGTAGGGAAAGTGGGAGAAAAATGAGGGAAGGGGTCACAGTTTGACAAGAAATGTACTTATGACCTTACTTATGTAATTGTAACCCTTCTGTACATTACTTTGACAATTTAAAAAAATAAAAGAATACAAATTTTTTAAAAGTATGGCATATCCATATAATAATGTATTATAATGAAATAGTAATTGCTACTGCAACATAGATGAACCCTGGCAACCTTATAGTAAGCGAAAGAAAACCCAAGTACCAGTAACTCATACTTAAAATCCTAATTACTCAGATGTCTGTGATCTGGGGATCAAGATTCAAAGCAAACCTAGGCAAACAAATTGAGAGACTGTTTTTGTTTTTTTTGGGGGGGTGGGGGTGGGGATGGGGGCATTAAACTCTGGACCTGGGCACTGTCCCTTAGCTCTTCTGCTCAAGGTGAATGGTCTATTACCACTTGAGCCACAGTGCCATTTCCGGTTTTCTGGTGGTTAATTGGAGGTAAGAGTTGCACAGACTCTCCTGCATGGCTGGCTTTGAACCGCAATCCTCATATCTCAGCCTCCTGAGTAAGTAGGATTACACGTGTGAGCCACCAGCACCCGGTTTACAAACTGAGAGACTCTTATCTCCAACTAACTAGCAGAAAGATGGAACTGAAGCTATGACTCAAGTGGTAGAGTGCAACCTTGAGCAAAAAACAGGCCAAAGCTCAAGGGCCTAAGTTCAAGCCCTAGTACTGGAGAGAGGTATATGTGGGGAGGGGGTAGGAAAGGAAGGAAAGGAGGAAGGGAGGGAGGGAAGAAGAGATGATTGGTTCATGTATTCCTTTACATGAAGCATAAAAACTTACCTTATATACTTCTCTCATAGCTTCTAGAAGAGTTTTAATATTATGGTAATTTTCAGGCAAAAAGAACTGCTGAAAGACTGCTGTTTTAAGCATCTGGACCAGCGTGTTCAGAGAAGATGCTTGCAAGGATGACCAACATTTTTCTGAGGGTATAAAGGCAACCGTGTTAAGTAGAGCCCCCCCTTCACTGTCTGAGTCTTCTATGTCAGATATAGGTATATTTTCCATTTCCAGTGGCATAACCCATAAACTATCTTTTCTAAGTAGATATTATTCACAGAAGGGGGTAAGGTTTTCCCTGATTGAATAACATAAGATTGAAAAACTCAAATTCAGGATTTGAAGAAATTTGTTAATGGATCATATTTATGGTTAATTAATAGACTTTATGATTTTCAACCTGATGATTTTTACAGAGGATCTACAAAAGCTGAAAACATATGTGTGAATACATAAAGAATGTCATCAAGGGCTGGAAAGGTGGCTCAGTGGTAAAGCACTTGCCTTGCATGCCTGAGGCCCTGGGTTCAATTAGCATCACATAAGCAGAAAAAAAAAAAGCTGGAAGTGGCGCTGTGGCTCAAGTGGTAGAGTGCTAGCCTTTAGCTAAAGAGCTGAGGGACAACACGCAGGCCCAGAGTTCAGGCCCCACAACCGGACCCCCCCCCCAGAAAAAAAGAATGTCATCAAGGTTCTTTTCAGTCTGTGAAAAATTATACATTATGTTCTCAGATTTTATGAACAACTGTCACACATGGACACATACACTGAAAATGATTACTGTATTTTCATATTTCTGAGATTATGATCACAATTTTGATACATTTAAAGGTGACTTCTCAGAAAACAGTCCTAAAATGACAGAGTAAATTTCCAAGCTACCAAATTAAAACAGCACTAATGAGATTATATAAAGCCAACAAATTTAGCAAAGTAGGAATTTCCTAAATGGACTCCAGCACATCTGGGACATTACCACATGACAAAGTTGGGATTGTGAATTCATGAGAATCAAACAGATCAGATCATAAATAGGTAGGGACAACTGAGCAGCCCTTTAGGAAAAATAAAATTAAAGATAATTTTAATAAATTTTACTTAATAAAATAAAAAGGAAAATTTCATGTTTAACATAAACGTTAAATAGTAAAAATAATAGGAGGAAAGAACAAAAACAATCTGGATACAGCCAGAAGACATTATGGAAAGTGAAACGAATGGGACACAAAAAAAGACATATAGCATGTTCTCATTGATACATGGAGATAAAATACTGATCTTCTAGAAGCAGAGAAGACAATTGTGGTTAGCAGAGTCTGGGAAGTGTGTGTTGAAGCAGTGCAGAGATGGGAATGAGACAGGATGGCTAACCAAGAGAGCCATACAGTTGAGAAGAATAACTTCCCATGTTTCTTTAAGCTGTGTAGGGTAACTCTAGTTACACAGCCATTTCAAAATAATTAGAACAGATGAGTTTTGAATATTTTTATCATAAAGAAATGACAAATATCTGAGGTGATCATTTTGATCCAGAATGGCAATGATCTAGAATTGAAGTTTTACTGATGAAGTTTAAATTGATATTTCCTCTTTCAGGGCTGCCCTGTTGCCCAAGTCAAGAGCTACAAGGCACATAGATGATCATGTGAATGGGGATCACTAAATTCATGGGCTCTGTCCTTTGTGAAAGGTCAGTCTCCCAAAATAAATACACCTTCACTTGGATCTTGTAATTTTGCTTCCTAAAATTTTTCCTGTATTTTATACATGTACAAAAATGCTTATTAACATTGTTATGATTACAAGAGTAGATACAACAATCTATAGATGGCACTTCCTCATAACAAAGAACTCTTCAGTCATTGTTAGAGTTTGTATATGCTTTGTCCCACAAGAGCTCATGTGTTGGACACTTCTTCCCTCTTATGGCAATGTTAAGGTGATAGGACTTTTAAGCAGTAGGGCCTAGTGGGAGATCATTGGGGACTCTACCCTTGGAAGATATGAAAGTAGTTATCCTGCAGTCCTTGCTAGTTCTTATAAGAGGGTTGTTATAAAAGTTTGCTGTAGCCAGGCGCCGGTGGCTCACGCCTGTAATCCTAGCTGCTCAGAAGGCTGAGATCTGAGGATCGCAGTTCAAAGCCAGACCAGGCACGAAAGTCCATGAGACTCCTATCTCCAATAAACCACTAGAAAACCAGAAGTGGTGCTGTGGCTCAAGCAGTAGAGCAGTCGCCTTGAGCTGAAGAGCGCAGGGACAGCGCCCAAGCCCAGAGTTCAAGGCCCATGACCAACAAAAAAAACAAAACAAAACAAAACAAAAAAAAGTTTGTTGTGTTCTCTGGCTTTTTGTATCAAGATCTGATCATTTGCTCCCACACATATCCCTGCCATTGTCACCTGCTGTAATGTGAAACAGCAATGTCAGTTTCATGCCCTTGAACCTTCAAAATAATGATTTAAATAAACCTCTTTCTTTATAAGTATTCCACCTCAGGTATTTTGTAATGGAGATGAAAAGACAACAAATCTAGCCAATAAAGATTGAGACAGATTGGGTCCTGGAATGGATTATAAACCTTGTGGCATACATCAAGTTGTAATAAATAAGTTTCCAGAGAAAAATAGGAATGGTTTCCTACTATGAAAATAACAAAAGAATATTGTGTATATATTCATATACATAAAATATCCGGTTCATATAAGATATTTGCATCTGTAACCAAGAAAAAACTGTAACTAGGAGAAAACTGGGTGACTTATATTTCATTCTACATAATCCTTTGTACCTTTTAAGTATTAGGTCTTCGACATTAGGTTAAACTTGAAAAAAATCATCACATAAAATTGAATAAACTAAACAGTAATAAAAATTAACATTTGCATCACTTCGGGTCAAATATTTAAAGTTTAAAAACAACTTAAAGTTGTAAAATACAGATTTCTTCTCATTGGATGCTTGACAGTTAACAACTTGTGATGTCAAATTACATCTAAATCTAAGACCTGCACTTGTTTGTATGATAAACATAATGATTCTAATTGCTTTAGATTAACTTTTGCAAAAATTCACAATCCCTGTACTCAAATATGTGTCCAAAATTTGGTACAATTTTTACTTCAATTTTTCTCAATTGAGTTTGTAGACTAAGTGACATAAAACTTACTCAGGACTTGCAGAGATTTTCGACTCATTTTACAAATGGCTTCTGCAAATGGAATCAAGAGGCTCTGCGAGTTCATGGTATCACTCATCAAAGGACATTCAGAAAGTAGGAGGAAAACCAACAAAGCTTCTTGGTGTGGAGAATGACTTGGGAGAGCTTTGAGCAATCTTTCTGCCAGACAAGTTCTTATCTGTGATCAAAACAGGATCAAGGACAAGGGCCCAGGTTATGTGAAATATTACATATTTTAACAAGGTAATTATGAGATCAGAAGTTTCATTCTGGGGGTGGATCCAATGGAATAACCATTGAGTCTTCTAAAGCCACTACTGAAACCCCATCATTCCTGAGAATAGTAGTGTTTGTGAGATGCTACCCCATCTTATATTGAGGTCCATGAAAGAACTAGAGTGAAGCCAAATGTTCACGGACATACAGAGTGAATTGAAATACTCAAAACTAATATAAAATGTTGCAAAACCAACATTGTAGGCTAAGGACATTGCAACGTACCTATAGTCACACATGCTCAGGAGGCTCAGAAGGAGTATACCTTGAACCATTAGTTCAACCTAATGAGATCCTGTCTCAAATAGAAAAACAAAGGCTCACACCTCTAATTTTAGCTTCTCAGGAAGCTGAGATGTAAGGATCACCGTTTGAAGCCAGGCAGGAAAGGCTGTGAAACTCTTATCTCCAATTATCTCCAATTAACCAGCAGAAAACTGGAAGTGGGGCTGTGGCTCCAAGTGGTAAAGTGCTAACCTTGAGCCAAACAGCTCAGGGATGGCAACCAGGCCCTGAGATAAATAAAGGAAGAAAAGGAAATGCAAATAGGGCACCTGTGACTCACACCTGTAATCCTGCCTACTCAGGAGGCTCACATCTGAGGATCATGGTTCAAAGACAGCCCAAGCAGAAAAGTCTGTGAGACTCTTATCTCCAATAAAGTCTCAGAAAAATAACTTCCAAAAAATAACTATAGCTAAAAGGGTTGGGAGTATGGCTCAAGTGGTAGAGGACCTGAATAGTAAGCACAAACCCTGAGTTCAAACCCCAATACTAAAAAAATAAGAGAAAGGAAAGGGGAAGGAAGCAACAATTTTCCCAGTGCTCAGAGAGCTTCACTGCCAGGAAGGAAGCCAGTCACTCAGACCATTCACATCACCAATGTCATAATATTAATAGGTAGGGTCTTTTATGAATGATTAGGTAATAAGGACAGAAACTTTGTGAGAAGGATTAGTGCCTTATAAATGAGATCCAAGAGGTCAGGTCCAGTGGTGCACACCTATAATCCCAGCTACTTAGGAGGTATAGATAGGAGGATAGTGATTTGGATTCAAGTTGGAGGAAAAAGTAGTGAGACTATATGGGAAAATTAAAGCAAAAAGGGCTATAGGTATGGCTGAAATGGTAGACTAACTGCCTTCCAAGCAAGAAACCCTGTTCTGCCAATAATAATAATAATAACAATATCCAAGACAGACCTTTATTCTCTTTTGCTATGAAAGTGTCCAACAAATAGATGACTACAATAGATGTAGTCATCTATTAATCAGAAAGTAGGCCCATATCAGATCAAATCTGCCTATATCTTGGACTTTCTCACCTTCCAGAAAAGTGGAAGACAATTTTCATTTTTTATAAACCATCCAGACTATGATATTCTGTTACAGTAGTCTTATCTGACATCCTGATTATCTATCTACTGTTAACTCACATCTCTTTAGTTCCCATGTACTCAAACCTAAATTGTGACCAACCTAAAATCTATTCAAACTATGGAACTTGAAAACATTAACTAAAAATGTGACCGAAGAGAGGGGATGGGGTTGGAAGCATGGTTCAGGTGGTAGAGGGCCATTCAATGAATGAAAGTATCTGATAACTGAGTTCAAGCCCTGGTCTCAGACAAGAGAGACAGGGAGAGAGAGATGGTGGAGAGACAGAGACAGAGACAGGGAGAAAGATGAATCAGTAGCAGAGATTCATCTCAAACATTTGTGACTGATCTCAAAATAGATAGTGGGTCTTTCAATATCCCTGCCCAGGACAAACATCCTGCTTTCCAACAAGGCCACACTAAAGCTACCAGCACAACTATGTTTATTGCAGCATTATTTACCATAGCTAAGATATGGAACCAACCCAGATGCCCCTCAGTAGATGAATGGATCAAGAAGATGTGGTATATATACACAATGGAATTCTATGCCTCCATCAGAAAGAATGACATTGCCCCATTTGTTAGGAAATGGAAAGGCTTGGAAAAAATTATATTAAGTGAAGTAAGCCAGGCCCAAAGAAACATAGGTCCCATGGTTTCCCTTATTTGCAATATCTAGTATAGGTATGAGTCAAGCGGAAAAAGTCAGAGAATGTGATGTTAGGAAAACGAACCCTCAAATATGTATTTTAATGTTTTTGTTTCTTTTCATGCATGTGTTTCTAATGCATTTATAATATTATTTCTTTGTTGCTTTGTATGTCCCTCCCCCACAGTGTAACTCCCGCTTTCACTATATTTGATGTCAGTATAACATGTGGAGGAGACGGGGACAAACAAGTCGTTTAAGGATTCAGGTGGACCTGTTGCAACAATGAGAAGTACAAAATGTCATGTCAAAACCAGCTGTACAATGTCGGTGGGGGGGGGGGTATGATTGGGTGGGGGGGAGGGGGGAGGGTGGGAAGGGAGGTGAAGGGTAAACAAAGGAGGAGGCTGCAATGCTTGGTAAGAAATGTATGCATTTTCCTGCCCATGTAATTGTAACCCCTCTGTACAGTATGTTCTCAAATAAAATAAAATAAAATTTAAAAAAAAAAAAAAAAACATCCTGCTTTCCAATGCATTTACTGTTCATTTTACTAGGGAATATTTACCTTCCATGCTCTGTTTTTCTCATACTAGAAATTAAAACATTCTATCCATTGAACATCTAATGAGTTAACAAGAAAACAAATGTCAACAACTAATATAGTGTCCCGATATAGAATAACCTCATAATAAACAATACCACTATGCTTTAACCCCAATCATAGACCCATCTCCCAGCTTCCAGCTAAACTAACCTGCAATTGCAGATGTTCCTGTAAAAAATTCTGTTGTTATATTTATAAGCAAGATAAATATTGGTTATTACCATGGAAGAAATCCATTCAATTTGTGTTAACTTCTTGAAGGTATTTCTTGCCCTTTCTAAGGCCACATCAATGGAAGTGGTTCCTCCAATTACTCTATGAATACAAGAAATGTAAATAAATAAATAAGTAAATAAATGTGAATTTGAGTAGATGAAAAAGATATTTCTAATTCCCACGCCATTATTTTTTTGTTATCATAACACACGTAAGAAAGAAATTTTTGTCATAAAACATGCCTCTTTTTTTTCAAAATAAGTTAACCTGGCATCAAAAAATATACATAAACTTATTATTTTGATTGTTAAGAAAAATATTGTAGATAAAACCAAACATTGGTGGTTCACAGGAAGACACCATCACACAAATATTTCTTGATAATGCATTATTTGAAAAAAAACAATTGTTAAAGCTTGTTGAGTGCTAGGTCGCGATATACCACAGATCACACTGGTTTATAAGGCACTAGCTTGGGCAGTCTTTATGGGAGAGGGCTATAGATTTAATGACCACAGGGCCAATTAACAAATACTCCCAGTAGTTCAAAACAGTAAGGAAAAGGGGGTTATTTTGGTTGTTGTTGTTGCTGGTTGTGGTGGTGGTACTAGAGCTGAAGCCTGATCTCAGGGCCTGGGCACTGTCCCTGAGCTGGCTTACATAAGGCTAGCACTTTACCACTTGAGCTACACCTCCACTTCATGCTTTTTGGTAGTTTAATTTGAGATAAGAGTCCATGGACTTTCCTGCCTAGGCTAGCTTTGAACTGATATCCTCAAATTTCAGCCACCTGAGAAGCTAGGACTACAGGCATGAGCCATTGGGGCTCAACAAGGAAAAAGAGTTTGAGGTGAGAGGTTCAAAGACTCTTAGTGCTCAAACTGCCTGCTGGCATTTTCTGTTGAAATTAATGAATCATTCAAGTTTCTATAATGAACACTTGAAGTGTTCATTAGGAAAATCACTATTAGATCATTAGCTCCCTGCTAATGAAAACAGTGGCATTTGATATAAATAGAAATGGTGATATGTACAAGTAGTAGCTTAAATTTTCAGTTTCCAAGCTGCCAGAAGAGAATATAACATGTGTACCACCATCTTCTGAAAGAATGAGCCAACCTGAAGCCAAGCTATCAAGGGAGGGTCAGACCTGGCCAGAGGAAGGGAAAGCAGGGGCTACAAACAGTTCAGCAGAGCAGCAGTATCTAGGAAAGGCAAAGGGCAGCTAGTCATCACATTCTTCACTCAGACACTCACGGGCCATACTGGAGAACTTAAAGGAAGAGGGAAAATAAAAGCAAGAAAGGAATTGATTAATCTAGGAAAATCAGATTATTAAACCAAATAAAAGAAAATTTAATTTTCCTCTATAACAAGTTAAACACAAGATCTCTTTTCCTTATTGATCCTATATAGTAGGAAATGTAAAGAAAACTCTTGGTTTCTAAGTACTAAAGCCATGTTGAATTTAATTGTTCAGTTGTAGCTACAAAGAAGCATCATTCTCTCCAATCAGACAATACAGGAAAACAGTAGATGAGGTTATTCTCTCCAATCAGACAATACAGGAAAACAGTAGATGAGGTTAATTAGGAATTACAACCTGTGGTGGGCTATTCAGAGATCACTTTATAAAATTGAAGAATGCTAAAGCATTCTACAGAGTTCTCTATGTTGAACTCTTTAGACACTGACAACAAAATTCATGTACTAGCTAGGCACCGATGACTCTCACTTACAATCCTAGCCACTCAGGAGGCTGAGATCTAAAAGTCAACATTCAGTGTAAGCCTGGGCAGACAAATCAGAGACTCTTTAACTCCAATTAACCAGCAAAATGCCCTAACTGGAGCTGTGACTCAAGTGGTAGAGCACCAGCATTGAGTTAAAATAAAACAAGCAAAAGCACCCAGGCCCTGAGTTCAAATTCTAGTACTAGCTCATGCACATGGACACATGGATATGCACACACAAATTCATGTTAGACAAATTGACTCTAATTGTTTCACTTTACGTGTTTCCCAGAATTGTACTCATAAAATGACATGTTCAACTGAAACCTCTATTTACGACTACTTATAGAGAATGAAAGATACTACTGAGGGTTTTAGATTTATTTATATATTTGAATATTTTAGATAAGGTCTCACTATGTAGCCCTGGCTGGCCTCAAGTTTACATTCTTCCTGCCTCATCCTCTCAAGTACTAGAGTTACAGATGATTGCTACTATGCTTGATGTCCCAATGTTTTGTTTTGTTATTGTGAAAATACCATGCAGAAGGATTACAATTATATGGGCAAGATAATAAGTATACTCCTTATCAAGCATTGTTGCCTCCTCCTTTGTTTTCCCTTCCCATCCCCTCCCATCTCCCCCTCATCCCTCCTACCCCTCCCCAGCCAAAGATGTAAAGCTCATTTTTCAACATAACAATTTGTACATGTAATTGTTGCAATGGGTACACCTGTATCCCTATTTAAGTTTTTTTCCCCTTCCCCTCCACAAATTATATGTCCCAATGTTTTAAATGAAGGTATATCTCATACAAGTATTACCTTTTCTTCAAAAAACTTCCAGTCAGACAAGCAGGAGATGAAAATATCACTGTAATTTCTCTGTGAAAGGAATAGCAAGTGTTATATAACAATGTAATGTAAAGCATACTTCATTTAACTTGTGTCTCAGTGAACAATTCATGTCATGGGATCATTATTGAGACTCAATTCTAATTATTGCCAAATCTCACCACAACTCTTAACACTAGATTGGATCAAATCATCTAGATTTGAATAAAACTCACCATTCTCAAGACCAAATCTGCAGATCTCCACAGCATAAACTGTGGACATATGATTTACAAGAGGTTTTGTGAGCTTCATATTTTCCTCCATTTATTCCTGCATCTCTCTCACCTATGAGATACCAACAATAGTGTATACTCTTGAATATCTCTTGTTTATATTAAATAAAAGTTGAATGCCTCAGGAAACCATTATCAATTCAAACTAAAACTACGGTAGAAAAAAAATCATGATCAAAGTGGAAATGCTTTCACAAGCCAATCCCTTTCCCTTATGGTTAGGATGAAGTGACCAGCACCTCAGAAATGAAGCACTGATAACTTATCAGAGAGTCACCTTTTAGCCAAGTCATGTTCATCACTTCCTCTTGTCACCGCTATCCATTTTTTCTCCAGAGATGGTTTAATCTGGCTTATTTCTGGCAGTGTTTTCTTAGAAACACCTCTGGATCTAGCATTCTGCAAGGAAAAATAAAACAAGATGATATGAAAGGCACATATATGCTAACTGATCATAAATAAAGCATCTGGCACGGGTAATACACTTGTCTTGCTCTTTCAGGCAGGCTTTTGGTTGGTTGACCTCTGACATCAAACTAGCCTAGCTCTTCCACTTCCTGTTTTTCCTTCCTTCTCTCCCTCCCTCCCTGTCACCCACCCTCCCTCTTTCCCTCCTTTCCTTCCTTCCTTCCTTCCCTCTTTTTCCCCTCCCTCCTTTCTTTCTGGCCTCCAACTTCTATGCTCTGAAATCTAGAGGAAACCATTTTTCTGAGGAATATAAGCTGCCCCACATACCTTCTGGATTGTCACAAAGTCAGCATACATCCCAGCAAAAATGTGTTTGATCTGAGTATTCTCAAGGTCTGAAAAAAGTCAGAAATTATACCAAGAATTATAAGGAAAGAGTTACTCTGATGTACAACAAACCCAAAAGTATTCATTTATTGGCTATTTATACTCCCCTCAAGTTTGAATAGAAACAGCACAAAAGATTAAATGTCATACAGGCATTCCATTAAAATTTTAGGAGGCTCACACCTATAATCCTAACTGCTCAGAAGGCTGAGATCTGAAAATTATGGTTCAAAACCAGACTGGGAAGGAAAGTCCATGGGACTTTTATCTCCAATTAACTATCAAAAAAGATGGAAGTATACCTGTGGCTCAGGTGGCAGAGTGCTAGCCTTAAGCACAAAAGTTCAGGGACACTGTCCAGGCCTGAGTTCAAGGTCCAGGAAAGGCAAAAATAAGTAAATAAATGAATAAATAAATAAGTTTTCTTGCCTAATTAATCTAAGCAGATATGCCTTAGAAGAGTTTTGCTTAAATATATGCAAGTGATGCTTACTAAGATACAGTCTTCATAGATTCTGATTCAGAGCCAGTCTGGGCAGACAAATCTGATACTTTTATCTCCAGTTTACTAGGAAAAAGCTAGAAGTAAAGTTATTGTTCAAATCGTAAAGTGCTAGCCTTGAATGAAAAGTCAAACAAGAGCACAAGACCCTAAAAGTTCAAGCCCCAGTATTCACACACACATACACACACACACACACAGAGACACACACACACACACACACACACACACACACACACACACACAATTACTTAAGTAATCAACTTGGGCTTTCTTTTATATTACTTTAATCTTTAGAAATGATTAGCAATCAATCCACGCTGCATTAAAAATGTACAACTTTACAATAAAAGTTCAAGAAGAATCATAGGGACATGGGTTCCTTTAAAGAGAAGCTGAGGAATAGTTCTCCTTTGGTAATATCTACAAAAACAAAATCATGAAGAAGGGAGCCCAGGCATACCATTCGCAGAAATCAGGCAGGTCATGTCACAAGTATCTCTTGGAGCCTCTGATTGAGTTGGGTTGCTTGAGTGATTTGGTCCACGACCAAAAGATACTACCTGACCAGTAGTGTAGACATAGGCAAGGGTGTGGTAACTGTGGGAGAGAACACACTTTATTGAAGATCCAGGTACTCACTGCTCCAGGAAAGACAAAGTGACAGACTTATCTTTACTAACAGCCCAGAGTGCTTATCAGGGTCCATGGACACAGGGTACCAGTGATGTGGCTAAGCAAGTGCTGAATAGTAACACATTAGCATTATGAAAAAGAGACTATCAATGATGAGTTTTTACCATGAATTCTATCAGGAGTTTTAAATGCAAATGCAAGCCAGACACCAGTGGCTCCCATCTGTAATCTAGTATTCAGAAGGCTAAGATTTAAGGATCACAATGTGAAGCCAGCCTGGGCAGGAAAATCCATAGGATTCTTATCTCCACTTAACCACCAAAAACCAGAAGTAGTAGTGCCAGGCTTGGGCAAAAAAGCTAAGGGACAGTACCTAGGCACTGACCCAGTACTGGCATAAAAAAGGAAAATAGATTGAGTTGGATACTTAAATGCTCCAAAAACCCTCATAATTAAGTTATACAAAAGTGTTGATATGTATTCAAATATTCATCATGTTCTATATACACAAAATTCATTTTATCTTATCAACTCAAGCAAGCAAATTTTATTTTGGTCACCAATCTAACCACACTCCCAGTCCTGATTATACACAGTATATATCTAAGAATTTCTCATTCAGTAAATTGAATTGCAAAGATCAAGATCATAAAAAAAAAATTAAAAGCAAATTTAAAGTATATTCAAGGGAAGTAAATTTCCAGGATTGGGGGTGCTCTATATAAAGAGCAGCCATGTATTTTAGGGTTTGGTGGTTTGATTAAATTCCAGGTGAGTACTTTATCAATAAGGATTTAAAGAAAGTAAAAAAAAAAAAAAAAAAAGCTGTTACCTTCCACAATCTATCTGAGAAACACGGCCATCCAGTCTTTCTACAAGCTTTGGTCCTCTCACCTGGGCAGAGGACTCATATCCCAGCTGTCCAAAGCTATTGTCTCCAAAGGTGAACACTTTCTCATCCTGTTCACAATGAGGGAGTCGGGTTAAATTTATGCTAAAAACAGTAACTCAGACTAGGAGATATCTATATCTATTTATAGCTATATCTATCTATCGGTAGATAGATATATCTATCTATTTATATCTATCTCTATCGATAGATATATCTATCGATAGATATATAGATAGAGAGAGAGAGAGATGATGGTGTGATCACTGGCACTAGAAAAAAGTATCTGATAGCTAACAAATTAAATATATCATAAGAGAGTTAATAGGAAAGCAACATGTGAAACATCAGCCCCATAGAAATAAATTTGAAGTCTTTATTACTTCTTACAGTAAATGCAGTATTAACATATTAAATGTCCTGAAGCTTTGACATTTCCATTAAAAACCAGGCCCTTGGTAGTGTCACAGCAGCATCAGGGCTGTTAATGTGATAATATGCTACATTCTTGGGGCTGGGAAAATGGCTCAGTGGTAGAGCGCTTGCCTTGCATGCAAGAGGCCCTGAGTTCGATTCCTCAGCACCACATAAGCAAAAAGAAAAAGCTGGAAGTGGTGCTGTGGCTCAAGTGGTAGAGCGTTAGCCTTGAGCTGAAGAGCTGAGGGACAGTGCCCAAGCCCAGAGTTCAGGCCCCACGACTGAAGCCCCCCCAAAAAAAATATGCTACATTCTTTTTTTTCTTTTCTTTCTTTCTTCTTCTTTTTTGTGTGCTCGTATTGGGAGTTGAACTCAGTGCCTCAATCTCTCACTTTTTTTTTTACTCAATGTTGGTACTCTACCACTTGAACCAAGTCTTTACTTTGGGCATTTTGGTGGTTAATTGTAGATAAGCATCTATGGACATTTCTTCTGAGGCGAGATTTGAATGAAGAACCTCAGCTCTCAGTCTCCTGAATAGCTAGAATTAAAGGCATAAGCCACGAGTGTCTTGCTATGCTGCACTCGAAAACTGCTAAAGAAGTTGATCTGGGCCTTCACTACACACACATAAGGCTAATTATATGAGGTAAGACAAGTTAGTAATGCATTCACAGAGTACACATGTATCAAAAACCATGCTGTGCCCCCACATGCATATGAATTTTGCTAATTATATCCCAATAAAGACAAGGAGAAAAAGAATTTGATACTAAACAAGTGTATGTTGAATGAATTGATGGACATATTTATTGGTTCAAGAGTAGCCCTACAATTTAAGTATACTATTTAACCTTGGTATTTAAATTGCTTTATTTATTAGAGTATATTTTCTGAAAATATTCTCTTCAAAAGATGGTTCTATAATTTAAAACAACTCTATTTTTTGTCAACTAAACCATAGTTCAAAGAATTTATGGTTTCCTAATTTAAGACATGACTTTAAGACAGGAAAAATCATTTGGTGGTCTGGTAGTTGAGCACTTGCCTGGCATGCATGAGGTCGTGGGTTTGATTCCCAACAAAAAACCAATCAATAAGTAAACATATTTAAAAATCATTTAGGTTATACAATTTTTTTTGGAGGTTGGGGAATCAAATCTACCATCTATGCTGTTCATCCTTGGTTCATGTCCATAATCTTAGCTACTTGGGAAGCTGAGATTTGTAGGATTGAGGTTTGGGAATAGCTTGAAACAAAAAATTCACTGTACTTCATTCTCCAAACTAGACAGCAAGAAGCAGGGCTGGAAACATGGTTGTATTGGTAGTGTCAGCAGTGAGCAAGCAAGCCCAACAAGCGCAAGATCCAGGTAAACTCCAATGCTGAAGAAAATAAAAATAGGTAATCACTCTACCACTGAGTCATAGCCCCAACCCTGGAGTAGAAGAAATCTTTAAAACATTTCAACCATACACATAGTCTTCAAGTCTATTTCTCATGAAGATTGAAAAAAATCCATCCCAAATAGCATCACATTTCAGATTACCTGGGTTAGTACTGCAGTATGCTCATGTCCACAGCTGATGTAAGTCACACCCAGAGTCTTCAGGGCACCAACTGAAAGGGGCTTGTAGCTTTGTACTGTTGAAAGAAAGAAAGCTCAGAGTATAAACAGATTCAGAGGCAGAGGGGTCATGAGGTCCAGGCTAGCCTGGACTCCATGGGTGAGACCCTATGTCAAAAAGAAAGAAAGAGAGGGGCTGGGAAGGTGGCTCAGTGGTAGAGCGAGCACTTGCCTTGCATGCCTGAGGCCCTGGGTTCAATTCCTCAGCACAACATAAGCAAAAAGGAAGAAAGAAAAGGAAAAGAGAAGGGGATTAACAGACTCAAAATTTCATGAGTGTTTATATTTTTATATATTCTTCAGCATAGTTTACACACTGTGTGTGTGTGTGTGTGTGTGTGTGTGTGTGTGTGTGTGTGTGTGTGTGTGTGTGTGTGTGTGTTGATAACTGGGATTTGAATTCAGGAACTGTTAACTTTCTTACTCAAGGCTGGTTTCTCTACCACTTTGGCCACAGCTCCAATTTAGGCTTTTGGCTTGATAAATGGAAATAAGAGTCTCACAGCCAGGTGCCGGTGGCTCACACCTGTAATCCTAGCTACTCAGAAGGCTGAGATCTGAGAATCTGGGTTTAAAGCCAGCCCAGGCAGGAAAGTCTGTGAGACTCTTATCTCCAATTAACCACCAGAAAACCAGAAGTGGTGCTGAGGTTCAAGTGGTAGAGTGCTAGCCTTGAGCTGAAGAGCTCAGGGACAGCACCCAGGCCCAGAGTTCAAGTGCCACAACTGACCAAAAAAAAAAAAAAAGAGTCTCACAGATTTGGGGGCTGGGAAGGTAGCTTAGTGGTAGAGTGCTTGCTTACCATGCATGAAACCCTGGGTTCAATTCCTCAGTATCACATAAACAGAAAAGGCCAGAACTGGTACTATAGCTCAAGTGGTAGAGTGCTAGCTAGCTTTGAACAAAAGAAGCTAGTATATGTCTGAGACAAGCAGAAACAGTTAGACAAGTTGATGTTAGGCGAAATAAACCCCAAGATAAAGATTCAAATGGTTTTTCTTTCTTGCTATTTTTTCTAGCATATTTATAAGATTATTTGTTTGTTGTTTTGTATGTCCCTCTCCCACCGTATAACCCTTGTTTTCACTGTATTTGATGTTGGTATAATTTGTGGAGGGGAAGGGAAAAAACAAATTGTTTAAATAGGGATACAGGTGGACCCATTGCAACAATGAGATGTACAAGACGTTATGTCAAAAAACAAACTTTACAACTTTGGCTGGGGATGGGGGAGGATATGGGAGGGGAATTTTATGGGAGCGATTTTAAGGGGAAACAAAGGAGGAGACAACAATGCTTGGTAAGAAATGTACTCATTTCCTTACTCATGTAATTATAACCCCTCTGCGGTATTTTCACAATAAAAAGTGTATTAATAAAAAATATATAAAAAATAAAAAGAAGCTCAAGGACAGTGCCAGGGCCCTGAGTTCAAGCCCCAGGACTGGAAAAAGAAAAAGAAAAAGAATCATAGATTAGCCAGGAGCTGGTGGCTCATGCCTGTAATCCTAGCCACTGAGGAGGCTGAGATCTGAGGATCACAGTTCAAAGCCATCCCAGGCAGAAAAGTCCGTGAGACTCTTATCTCCAATTAAGCACTAGAAAACCGGAAGTGGTGCTGTGGCCCAAGCAGTAGAGCACTTGCCTTGAGCTGAAGAGTGCAGGGGTAGTGCCCAAGCCCAGAGTTCAAGCCCCATGACAGAAAGGAAGAAAGAAAGAAAGGAAGGAAGGAAGGAAGGAAGGAAGGAAGGAAGGAAGGAAGGAAGGAAGGAAGGAAGGAAGGAAGGAAGGGAAAGAAAGAAAGAAAGAAAGAAAGAAAGAAAGAAAGAAAGAAAGAAAGAAAGAAAGATAGAAAGATAGAAAGAAAGAAAGAATCACAGATTTTTCTGCCAGGGCTGGGTTGGAAATGTAAACCTCAGATTTCAATCTCCTGAGTAATTAGGCTTATAGGCATGCACCAACAGTCCCTATCTCATTAATATATTTTTCATGAAGAGTCAGAAGTATAGAACAAGAAAAGCTCTTCTTTGGCAAAAAAAAAGCTGTCCTTTTCATTTATATCTGGAAGCTATTTGTCCTTATGACGACTAAGGCCATTGACCAAGAAAACTAAACATCAAGATCTCATTCCCAATAATATAGTCATTATTTTATATTCATTTCTGTGTTCTGTAGATATGGAATAAAGAGCACCTACTCAGACGGGCACTGGTAGCTCATGCCTGTAATCCTAGCTACTCAGGAGGCTGAGAACTGAGGATCACAGTTCAAAGCCAGCCTGGACAGGAATGTCCGAGAAATTCTTATCTCCAGTAAACCACTCAGAAAACCGGAAGTGGCACTGTGGCTCAAGAGCACTAGCCTTGAACTGAAGGGCTCAGGGACAGCACCCAGGCCCAGAGTTCAAGACCCAGGACTGACCAAAAAAAGAGCACCTATTCATGTTACAAGAGTTAAATAAAATGAGATGTCAGGCTTCCCGTGGTACTGTCAAGTGCTACCTGTTATTATGTTAGCTGAATGGAAAGAACTGAAGAAGTGAACAGGGAAGGATGCGGTCTTGAAGAAGACTCCTTGGTAAGTTTAATTTTTAAAGGAATTATTGTTGAGAGAGGTTTTCTTTGTCTGGAGGAACCTGTCATTTCCCCTAATACTTTCAATCTTATAATCCAGTGCTTCTCAAACTTGTCAGCACATTGGAATCACTTAGCAGGGGTAGGGAATGTCTGGCCCTTGCTATATGACAGGACAGACATACTTTCTTCTTGACTGCCTAAGGCCATCTGTCTCTATTGAAATTTCATATGGCCCATAATGATATTATAAATATTCTAAAGGACCAGGCACCTGTGACTCTTGCCTGTGATCATAGCTATTCAGAAGGCTGAGCTGAAGTCAAAGTTCAAAGCCATCCTAATGAAGGAAAGGCTGTAAAACTCTTATCTCCAATTAACTACCAAAAAAGCTGAAAATGGAAGTGTGGCTCAAGTGCTAGAGAGTTGACCTTGAGCAAAAAAAGCTCAGAGACAGTGCCCAGGCCTTGAGTTCAAGCCCCAGCACCAACAACACTAAGTGCATAAATGAATAAATAAACATCCAGTTGGATCTTAGTAAGAAAATAGTTTCCTATCCTTCATAGGGGATCCTCAACTATGACTTGATGCTTGCCTTTCACTCCCAGAAATTCTGATTTCATTGGTATGGAAGACTTGTTTTTATTTTATTTTTATTTTTTGAGATAGAGTCACTATGTAGCTGAGGCTGGCCTCAAACTGGAAATCCTCCTGCCTCAGCCTCCTGGGTGCTGGAATTACAGATATGCACCACCATAACTGGTTGTCACCAAGACTGTTAAGGGTATTCTAATATAGGCAGAATAATAGCAACCTAAAGAATAATAGTCTTAGCTGGGAGCTGATGGCTCACTCATGTATCCTAGCTACTCAGGAGGCTGAGATCTGAGGATTATGGTTCAAGGCCAGCCTTTGAAAGAAAGTCCATGAGACTTATCTCCAGCTAACCAACAAAAAAAACAGGAAGTGAAGCTGTGGCTTAAGTAGTAGAGCACTACTTTTGAGCAAAAAGGCTCAGGGATAGTGCCAATGCCATGAGTTCAAGCCCTAGGACAGGTACACACCAAAAAAAAAAAATCATCATCTATTTCCCAATACCAGAGCCTGTGAATCTGTTCAATTATGTAGCAAAGGTGAGAGGAGGAAGCAAACAGAATTGCAATTGCTAATCTGTTGACCTTACAACAGAGAAATTATCCTAGATTATTCAGTGGGGGTTTAATATAATTATAAGGTTCTCTTCATTGAAGAAGGAGGCCCAAGTGTTAATGTCAGAACAATAAGACCAAAGCAGACTAAATCAGCAAATGCTAGTTTGGGAAAAGGGAGAAGAGTCAACTTATACAAGTAGTGTCTAGAGCATAGAAAAGACAACAATAATTCTCCCCTGGAAACTCTGAAGAGGAATGTAACCCTGCCCAGCACCATGACTTTAGCCCATTGAGACCCATGTCAGACCGCTAACTGCTAGAACTAAAAGCTAATAAATCTGTATTGTCCTAAGCCACTGTCACTAATATCACTAATACCACTTCCCACGTGATGGTAACTTAAAAGAAAGTGTAGGAATGACTTTGACCCATGAGAACATCCTTTGCCAGGTTGGTCTTCTAGTTAGAAATAAAAACTAAATTTCTTGCTAATAAAAGACAATATGCTCCCAATCCATGGGCTTTCTATTGATCTTGCTAGCTATGTCCTTAGCCATGCAGAAGCTCTGCAACATCATGCAATCCCATTTGTCCAACCTTTCTTTGAATTGTTGTGTTTCTGGGTCTCTATTAAGAAAATTTCGGCCTGCGCCAAGAAGACCTAGGGTTTCTCCTATTCCATCCTGTAATGTTTTCAGAGTGTCTGCTTTGACTCCGAGGTCTTTGATCCATTTGGAGTTGATTCTGGTGCAGGGTGAGATCTTCACTAGCCATACAACGGACAAGGGTCTCATATTAAAATATACTTGGAACTCAAAAAATTAAATCCCCCAACAACAAATCCTCAAAGAAACAACTGCCCAATAAATAAGTGGGCTAATGACTTAAAGAGAAACTTCTCTGAAGAAGAAAGGATGGCCAATAGACACATGAAGAAATGCTCAGCCTCCCTAGCCATAAAAGAAATGCAAATCAACACAACATTGAGATACCACCTCACCCCAGTTAGAATGGCAAAAATCAAGAACTCTAATAACAACAGATGCTGGAGGGGATGTGGACAGAAGGGAACCTTACTTCATTGTTGGTGGGAGTATAAACTTGTTCAACCACTTTGGAAAGTAGTATGGAGGTTCCTCAAAAGACTCCACATAGAGCTCCCCTATGACCCAGCAGTCCCACTTTTGGGCATTTACCCAAATGTTTACAAACAAGACCACACTAAAGCTACCAGCACAACTATGTTTATTGTAGCATTATTTACCATAGCTAAGATCTGGAACCAACCCAGATGCCCCTCAGTAGATGAATGGATCAAGAAAATGTGGTATATATACACAATAGAATTCTATGCCTCCATCAGAAAGAATGACATTGCCCCATTTGTTAGGAGATGGAAAGGCTTGGAAAAATTATATTAAGTGAAGTAAGCCAGGCCCAAAGAAACATAGGTCCCATGATTTCCCTTATTTGCAATATCTAGTATATGTATGAGTCAAGCAGAAAAGGTCAGATAATGTGATGTTAGGAAAATGAACCCTAAGATATGTATTTTAAATGTTTTTTTTCATGCATTTGTTTCTAACGCAATTATAAGATTATTTCTTTGTTGCTTTGTATGTCCCTCCCCCACAGTATAACCCCTGCTTTCACTGTATTTGATGTCGGTATAATTTGTGGAGGGAAAGGGGAAAAACAAGTAGTTTAAATAAGGATACAGGTGGACCTGTTGTAACAATGAGAAGTACAAGTTGTCATGTTGAAAACGAACTTTACAACTTGGGGCGGGGGAGGATTGGGTGGGGGCTAGGGAGGATAGGAAGGGATGGGAAGGGTAAACAAAGGAGGAGGCTACCATGCTTGATAAGAAATGTACTCACTATCTTGCCCATGTAATTGTAACCCCTCTGTACAGTATTTTCACAATAAAAAAAAATGAAAAAAAAGACAATATGCTTACCTTGGACATTCTTGCCTGTGACAGCCAACTGACCAGCCTTGTTGCTGCCCCAGCCAAAGCAAGTCCCAGAGAGACACAGGGCAAAGCTATGAGCTCCTCCAGCTGCCACCTGAGCCACCGGTATTCCTTCTAGGGACCTCACCCTCTCAGGGGTACTTTGCATGGGGGCATTCCTCCCCAGGCCCAATTGGCCTTCGCTGTTCTTTCCCCATGAAAAGACTTGGCTGTCTAGCAAAGCAAAGAGAAATTGTGAATTGCACACATACTGGAATACCAAAGGGGAGAAGAAATCCATGCCTTTTACTGTTACTTTTCAGATAAGATCTCACATTATTTTTTGCCTTAGCTGGCCTCAAACTCTAAATCTTCCTACCTCTACTTCCAAAAAAGCTGTCGTTATAGGCATAAACCACTACACCAGACCTCCTTCTAACTAATGTCTTTTACACAATAGATCTCTTTTCCTTAGTGATCCCAACTGTAAAGTGAACTCTTCATCTCTAAGTACTCAAGCAATGTTAAATTTAACTGTTCAGTTGTAGATACAAAGATCCTGAGATTAAATATTACTTTAAACAAGCTGGATGCCTTATAAGCTTATGCCTATAATCTTAACTACCCAAAAGCCTGGGATCTGAGGATCATACTTTAAATCCAGCCCAGGCAGGAAAATCCATGAGACTCTTATCTCCAGTAAACTACTCAGAAAAAGCTAGAAGTGGCACTGTGGCTCAAGTGGGAGAGCACTAGCCTTGAGCACAAAAAGGCTCAGGGATAGTGCCCTGGCCCTGAGTTCAAGCCACAAGTCTGTCCAAAAAAAAATTAAACAGAGGAAAGGAGGGATAAAAAGAGTAATAGAAAAGGTACAATTGAACAAAGTAGGCTATATGCATGGATGGAAATATCACAATTGAAACGCTTTGTATAATAGTATGCCCTAATAAAAAGAAGAAAAAATATTTCTTAAACTCAAAGAGCCAAAAAGTACTTTTTACCTTCTGATAATGCTAGAGAATGAAAGTTTCCACATGAAACTTGTATTATTTTGATACCAGCCAGAGCATTTATTCTCCTGTAATAAAAATGATACAAATTCATTCATTAAGACTATTATGTCAATATAATACCATGAATATTTATTGATATTCATTAATCCAATTATGATTATTCATCAATGAGTATCAATTTGATCATCTAATCATTGGTGTTCTAATTATTAACATTAATGTTGATTACTAATAATATCAATTATTGATATTGTTGTGGTTGATACTATTAATAACACTGGTATTTATACCATTAGTAACACTAAAATATTACTAATATTATTATTGATGTTATTAACTATTATCTGTATTTAGGATAAGGTTCTAGGTGAACTACAGATAATTCAAAATATCTCAGGTAATAACTATGTCAAGTAAACAATTTTTTATTCTCTTATATTTCTGTAGTGACATCCCAATGCTTTCAAACAATTTTTTTTCTTTCTTTTTTTCAGTCATTCTTTTCTTTTTCTCTGTGCTTTCTGTGTTTCTTTTTTCTCTGTGTTTCTGATGATAGAGCCCTGGGCCTTGCGCATGTTAGGAAAGTGTCATGTACTCCACCACTGAGCCACCTTCCCTCCCCCTGCTCTTTCATGTTCATTTTCTTTTTCTTTGTTTCCTATACAAAGTCTTACTATGTAATCCAAGCCAGGCTTAAATCATGGCTGCCTGAGCTGCCTCAAATGGGATTATAGGTTTGCAACATCACATCGATCTTGTTTTGTTCTTCTTCTTCTTGTTGTTTTTGGTGGGAGGATATGAGAAATAGTTCATTAGCAGGCTGTAACCTGCTAATGAATCCCCCCAATCCCAAGAGATACAAGACAATGCTGGAGTTCTTCCACTACTCCACTCCCCTCAAGTCTCTTCACCATGCCAGAACAGTCAGGAGTTCACACAATCTTCCCTGCTGACAACCAAGCCTGCCTCCAAGGCTGTGGTTTAACAGTAGTTATAGAAATGGACCTGGGTGCCAGTGGCTCAAGGCTGTAATCCTAGCTACTCAGGAAGATGAGAGAAAGGGTAAAAAAAAAAAAAAAAAGCTAAAACAATTAAATATATAAATAAGACAATGGACTCTCATCCAACCTCATGGGCATCACTAATCAGACAAGTCATGGGCTATGTGAAGTCACTATAGCCGCCAATATGAGGTCCTGCTCCACAGAACTGCATCACTTTTTTTTTTTTTTGGGGGGTCCGGTTATGGGGCCTGAACTCTGGCCTGGGCGCTGTCCCTCAGCTCTTCAGCTCAAGGCTAGCGCTCTACCACTAGAGCCACAGCGCCACTTCCGGCTTTTTGCTTATGTGGTTGGTGCTGAGGAATCGAACCCAGGGCCTCAGGCATGCAAGGCAAGCACTCTACCACTAAGCCACCTTCCCAGCCCTGCATCACTTTTGACATTCCTTGCACTGGGCAGAAATCACTTAGTATCAAAATGTGTTTGGGTTTTAGTTTTGGATCTTCGGATTTTCCTGATACAGGTTCTGGCTACATGGCACTAACTGACCTCAAACTTGAAATTTTCTCCCTCAGCATCCTGAGTGCTGAAATTACAAGAGTGAACCACCAACAGCCAACTGAAATTGTTTTATGGTATAAAACTATAGGCTATTATCCAAAACTATATAATTCACAACTGATTTTATTGGTTTTTGAGGCATTAGACAACGTAAATATCTAATTGGCTTAATGTAATTATCTTTACTTACTGGATTAAGAGAGAAAATACATTTTTCTAATCACATAGCATAGGCTTTGAAATTTAGAGATGACCAATAGTCATCATCTAATTTAAGCCTTATGAGATTTTTTAAAAGGAGTAATTTGAACCATACAACATAGCCATGGGTCACAAAGAGATAACTATCAGAAATTTCACACCAGTCAAGCTGATGGAACTCAAAGAGATCCAATAGCTTTCAACCTATAGAACTAGATTCAAACCTAGGCCTTCTCATCTAGTCTAAAATTGCCTGCATGCACACTTAGCATTTGGCTTAAAGGTTTCTCAATGTATGAACTGTGACAGTTCAAAACAGACAGTAACCTCATGGTATAACAACTAGCCTCCTCTTAGCCACAAGTAGCTCACTGCCCAAACATGTTCAAATAAGAGAGAAATATGCTATAACCAATCAGGCCATCTCTACCTAATGTTCTGTCACCTTTTTTTTCTTTAACCTGTCCATATGGAGAGATACAGCATTCTGAACCAGTCTGGGTGCAGATTCCTATAGAATTCTCGAATTATATGCAAGAAAAGCTGACCAAGATCTGTAAAACTAGATTTGTTGTCATTTTCCCTTGTGTATGGGAACTTGCTTGCTAGCCTGAGCCACATTTGGAGATACATACTTTTGTACCCAGGCTAGCTTTGAACCTTCATCCTTCACATCTCAGCATGCAGAGTAGCTAGCATTTACAGACACAAGTCACAAGTGCCCAGCTAAATTTCTTTTAACAGTTCTAAGTGCAGCACTCATTCCCCCAGCCTCATCGTCTCTCACTGGATAGATGAGCATGGGTAATTTAATTCCATTTCCATGAATTAAAATGCATGCCTTCAAATACATAATTCAAAGCTGACTGCCTTTCATATCACCTGTCCTAGGAAATATTAGTGAAGAAACATGGTATTTCTCTCATTGTACTTGGTGAATTACTATGATCCTGAGGCCTATGAAAAGCCAAACGGTTGAGTAGAGAAGAAAACTTTTCCTCTTTCAGCTGATGTTTAGCACTTGCAAATTAACTGACAATAGAGAACAGAGAAGGAAAAAACAAAAACACAAACAAACAAACAAACAAAAAGGTTTCTTTCTCAGGTCATGCAAAACAGCCCAGAGTAAACCTTTATATGTTTTAGGATCTCAAAGGGAGAGTACGGAAGGTTAGGGTTTTTGATGGCAATGATTATGGATGGCCTACCTACACAGCATCTGAGTTTCCAAGAGAACATTAATAAACATGACTTCGGAAAGTTCTGATTATTTCGACAAAAGATATTTTTGCCTCCTAGGACCCTTATAGTTTGATATTATTTTAATGTTATTAAAATAATCTTTATGCTCGCTCTGGGGGAATTCAATGGGTCCACAAAGTTGCATTACAATACATAAGACTAAGATGAAAGGACCACATCTCTTGTCATCCTGCCTTTCCTCCTTCCTGGGACTCTAAATAAATACCTGATGTATATCTAGTATATGTATGAGTCAAGCAGAAAAGGTCAGATAAGATGATGTTAGGAAAATGAACCCTAAGATATGTATTCAAATGTTTTTTTTCTTTCATGCATTTGTTTCTAACACATTTATAAGGTTATTTCTTTGTTGCTTTGTATGTCCCTCCCCCACAGTATAACCCCTGCTTTCACTGTATTTGATGTCGGTATAATTTGTGGAGGGGAGGGGGAAAAACAAGTTGTTTAAATAGGGATACAGGTGGACCCGTTGCAACAATGAGAAGTACAAGTTGTCATGTGGAAAACGAACTTTACAAATTTGGGGGGGGGGGAGATTGGGTGGGAGAGCGGGAGGGGGGGGGAAGGGAGGCTGGGAAGGTTTGAGAAGGGGAAACAAAGGAGGAGGCTACAATGTTTGATAAGAAATGTACTCATTATCTTGCCCATGTAATTGTAACCCCTTTGTACAGTATTTTCACAATAAAAAAAAAAGAAATAAAGTGGTACTTAAGAAAAAAAAAATACCTGATGTGTGTCCTTTCTCTTGTTTTCCCTCAGCAACTAGACATCTAGTCTCTAATTTGTCACATTCATATTTGTGTCCTTAATTGGTTGGTGTGTGTGTGTGTGTGTGTGTGAGAGAGAGAGAGAGAGAGAGAGAGAGAAAGAGAGAGACAGAGACAGAGACAGACAGACAGACAGACAGACAGACAGACAGACAGACAGAGGGAGAGGGAGAAAGGGGGGGAGGGAGGGAGGGAGGGGGAGGGGGAGGAAGGGAGGGAGAGAAACAGAGAGTCAGTACTGAGGCTTGAACTCAGCTGTGAGTGCTGTCCCTTAGCTTTTTCACTCAAGGCTGGCATTCTATCTCTTGAGCTACACTTTCACTCCTGGCTTTTTTGGTGGTTAGTAGTAGATAAAAGTCTCATGAAATCTTCTGCTTGAGATAGTTTTGAACCTTGATCCTCAGATCTCAGCCTCCTAGGTAGCTGAGAGAATGAGTAAGCCACCAAGTACCCAACTCTGGTCCTAAGACTTGAAGGATGCCTGGTATGTGATACTCAAAAATGTCAAACAAGCAAAGTAGTGACATGAGATACTTACTTAGGTGTAAAATTTATTTCTTTAAGTTCTCCAGTCCCCAGCTGCCCTTCAGAACCAGCTCCCCAAGCAAAAACCTTTCCTTCGTGACAGACGGCTAGCGAGTGTTCCTTCCCACAGCTCACAACATCGATATGGAGCGTTTCCAGTGCCTGAATGTGTTCTTTGGGAACAACAAAAACCCAGAAGATTATTATTTTAATAATTTCAAGGCAGCACTTTTCTTCACCCAAACTCCTTGTCTCCTCCTTGTCTTCTAAATCAAAGTCTAAAATCCTTGCTAAGTATTGGAAAGAACTAAGGTCAGTGTGTTGCCACACTACCTCTATGATAATATAGCCATGTTATAGAATTAATTGGGATGCCATTTGACTAAGATGACTTCCCTGTGTAAGCATACAAACCTGTCTCAGACTGATGGTCAAAGCACAGAGGAACAAAGCTCCAGTTTAAGCAATCAGAAGTCATGAACAACCTTGTACTCTAAGTAGACTTTACCCATTAAAAGCGGCCAGCTAACTTCCATTAGGGATTTTCAAATCATCAAGGAGCCTGCCTCCTGTGTGTAAAATGAAGAAGGAAAGAATTCCTAGAGAGTGATCTCCTAAATGAGTCTATAGTGAAAACCCAATCTCATTCCTCTACAAGCCAGTCTAAACTTTCCCAAAATGTCTGTCTAAATTATTATAGGTAAAAATTTGTATCATTTTTGTTGGCACCAAGGGTCCCAGTGTCACTCATTTCTGTGTTGGGGGCTAGGACATACCATCCTAAATTCACCCTTTGAGGGCTGTGGATATAGTTTAAAAGGCACAGTGCTTGGAGAATACAAGGCTCAGCCGGACACCAGCGGCTCACACCTGTAGTCCTAGCTACTCAAGAGGCTGAGATCTGAGGATCTGAGTGGGGCTGTGGCTCAAGTGGTAGCACACTAGCCTTGAGCTGAAGAGGGACAGCGCTCAGACCCAGAGTTCAAGCCCCATGACCAACAGAGAGAGAGAGAGAGAGAGAGAGAGAGAGAGAGAGAGAGAGAGAGAGAGAGAGAGAAGAGAGAGAAAGAGAGAGAGGAGAGAGAGAGAGAAAACACAAAGCTCTGCCTGTTTTTATTTCCAACCCCTTTCAAAAAAATAGTTTTTGTGACAGTTCTAGGGCTTGAACTTAGTGCCTGGGTGCTGTCCCTGAGCTTTTTGGCTCAAGGTCCACATTCTACCACTCGAACCACATTTGTAGCCCTACTTTTTTTTTGTTAATTCAAAATAGAATCCATCTGTCCAGGCTGGCTTTGAACTTCAGTCCTCTGCTCTCAGCCTCTTGAGTAGCAAGATTACAGGCATAAACCACTAACTCCCAGTCTGAGTTATTTTGAGCCAAAGGCAATTGAGGCTCAATTGACCTAGAAATTGTTCTTTGTTCCCCTCCCCCACATGGCATTAGGCTTTTAGTTAGGAGATCAATTTCTCTTTACAAATTGTTTTCCTCTATCTTATCAGAAAGTGGAGTAACTGTTATCATTTAAGGCCAGAGTCAGTAGTAGGATAAATCTGTAAAAACAGCCCTTTCCACACCCTTATCTTCTCTTACAGTCCAATGTGTACATATTATATGTGTGACTACACACATGTGTGTATATATTTGTATATGTATGTGTGTATACATGTATACATATAAACACTTATATATACACACATATATACATATATAGATATCAATATCAATATAGATATAGATATAGTATTACTATTTGGACTGATTTTTTGTGATGTTTCTTTAAGTTTTCTGAGGAATTTTTTGCATGTGTGCTGGTACTGGGTGCCACTCCTGGGTGTTATCCCTGAGTTTTTTTACTCTACCACTTCAGCCACAGCTCTATGTCTGGCTTTTGTAGTAGTTAATTGGAGATGTCTCCTGTGAATTCCCCAGGTTGGCTTCAAACTTCAGTCCTCAGAATTGGCCTTCTGAGAAGCTAGGATTACAGGTATGAGCCACTGGCAGCCAACTCAAGGAAAAATTGTCTTGTTGTTTTAAAGATGAAAAAAATCAATACATAATAACCTAACAATCCTACACGATTATAGTGTACAATATGATGTCTTAATACAAGTATAATTTGTGTAATCTTTAAATCAGGTCAAATATCTCTCTTCCTCTCCCCCCTCTCTTTGTATATGTACATATATGTGTGCCAGTAAATGGGGCTTGAACTCAGAGCCTGGGCCTTTTCACACAAGACTCAACCAGCAAGCCACAGTTTCAATTCAGGTTTTCTGATAGATAATTGCATATGACTCTCATATGCTTCTGTGCCCCAGCTTGCTTCAAACCTTGATCCTCAGATCTCACCTCTTCTGAGTATCTAGGATTCAGATATGAGCTATTAGCACTGGGCTACATATCTATCTCTTTAAACCTTTGCCCATTCTTTATGATGGAAACATTTGAAATTTTTCCTTCTAGCCTTTTTAAAAAAATATATGGTACAGGGCTGGGAAGGTGGCTCAGTGGTAGAGCGCTTGCCTTGCATGCATGAGGCCCTGGGTTCGATTCCTCAGCACCACATAAGCAAAAAGAAAAAAACCAGAAGTGGCGCTGTGGCTCAAGTGGTAGAGTGCAAGCCTTGAGCTGAAGAGCTGAGGGACACACCCACGCCCAAAGTTCAGGCCCCACGACCGGACCCAAAAAGAAATATATATATATATATATATATATATATATATATATATATATATATATATATATATATGGTACATCATCTACAACCATCCTACTGAGTAATTGCACTCCAAAATCACAAAATCATCCTACTGAGTAATCGCACTCCAAAATCACAAAATCGTCCTACTGAGTAATTGCACTCCTAAGTGGCTCAGGACTACTAATCAAACTTTCCCAGTTCTTTTCTTCCCGCCCCCTTTCATTAGGCTCAACCTCCATTCTATCATCAGCTTCTTTTATTTCTTTTTTATTCTTTTTCTCAAGACAAGGTCTTAATAGGTAGCTTGATCTTCCTGACATAACCAACATAGAGGAGATATTATAGGTGTGTGCCACTGTAGCTTTTCTACTTTCAAATTCTATGAGATCAGCTTTTGTAGATTCTATGTATGACACAGATCTTGTGGTACTTGTCTTTCTATGCCTGGCTCTGTGTCTGTGTGTGTGTGTGTGTGTGTGTGTGTGTGTGTGTGTGTGTGTGTGTGTGTGTGTTGTGTGTGTTGTGTGTGTGTATGTGTGTGTGTGTAGGTACAGGGGCTTAAATTTAAAACCTCACTCTCTTGTGTGGTTTTTAGCTCAACTAGTTTTTTGCTCATTAATTGGAGAAAAGAGTTTCTTGGATTTGCATGACTGGACTGTCTTCACACTAGGATCCTTAGAACTCAGCCTCTTGAGTAGCTAGGATTACAGGTATGAGCCACCAGATCCTAGCTGCCTGGATATTTAACATCGGATGGCCACCTCCATCCATATTGTCTCTCTCATTATTATTCTCTCATATATTTCCTAATCATTTCCCCACAGTACATCATCGCTTGAATCCCAAATTTCCTTTTCCTTGTTAAATATGTATATGATCCCCTGCATCTAAGTTTTTCTAAGGAAAGCTGAGCTCTGGTGGCTTAACTCTGTAATTCTAGGTACTCAGGAAACTGAGATCTGAGGATCAAAGTTCAAGCAAGACTAGAGCATCAAACTTGAGCACAAAAGCTAAGCAAGATGATAAGGCCATGGATTCAAGGTCAAGCCTGAGTATTGGCATAGAATAGATAGGTAGATAGGTAGGCAAGTAGATAGATAGATAGATAGATAGATAGATAGATAGATAGATAGATAGATAGATAGATAGATAGATAGATAGATAGATAGATCTTAAGTAGGGATACTGAATCTAACTGACACCATCTTGGCCATATAGTGGATGATAGGGTGTTGGGTTTAACTGGAGCCATTTTATCTTCATGGTGGAGGCAGAAAAGTCCCACCATCCCAGTGATGGGGGTGCCTGAATTCTTAGAGGCAGAAGTGGGGACTTGGACAATAGGTTACTGGACCTGCCTGCCTTGGGTCATGATCTCAAGTTCCCTGGAACCTGCCCTCTGTCCTGACCCTATTTAGGCCCGGACCAGCTCAGGCACAGGCATACCATGACAGCGCACTTCAGCTCTCCATTGGAGCTCATCTGGATTATTGGTATTGTTTTTCTGCTCTTTCTTTCCTCTTCTGTTCTCATGGCTCAGTTTTATGACAGTGTTAAGTGTATTCACAAGGCTGCAGATCTTTATGTCAAGAGTATGTCTGTGATCACTGGCCTTCTAATAAAGACTCCTGATTAGACCTCTCAAAATGTGGCTTGTTTTCTCATCATATGACTGACAGACAGACAAACAGACAGACAGACACACACACACACACACACATACACACACACACACACACACACACACACACACACACACACACACACACACACACACGGAGATAGATGTCCTTTGGAAAAATAAGCCCAGCACCAGTGGCTCATACCTACATTCTAGCTACTCAGGGGATTGAGATCTGGGAATCAAGGTTCAAAGCCAGTTCATATAGAAAAGTCCTGTCTGTCATATGACTGACAGACAGACACACACACGCGCGCGCGCGCGCACACACACACACACGGTAGAAGTGGAGCTATGGCTCAAGTAGTAGAGTGCTCGCCTTCAGCAAAAATCCTCAGATACTGCCCCAAGCCCTGAGTTCAAGAGGAAGGAAAGAAGGAAGGAAAGAAGGAAGGAAGGAAGGAAGGAAGGAAGGAAGGAAGGAAGGAAGGAAGGAAGGAAGGAAGGGGAAGAAAGGGAAAAAAGAAGGAAGAAAAGAATAAAAGGAAAGAAGAAAGGAAGGAAAGAAAGAGAAAAAAGAAGAAAAGGAAGGAAGAAAAGGGAAGGAAGGAAGGAAGAAAAAGGAAGGAAGGGAGGAAGGAAAGAAAGAAGGAAAGAAGGAAGAGAAAGGAAAGGAAGAAGGGAGAGAGAAAGAAAGAAAGAAAGAGAGAAGGAAGGAAGGAAAGAAGAAAGAAAGAAAGAAAGAAAGGAAAGAAGGAAGGAAGGAAGGAAGGAAGGAAGGAAAAAAGCAAGCAAGCAGGCAAGACCCAGGGTACTATGGTAATATGTTCATGACATTCTTACATTTGTTTAAAAAATTAAACAATAAAATAAATTAAAACTGCAATTGTGATCATTTGGTTAAATGCCCAGAAGTGGGATTGCTGGGTCACAGGGGAGCTCTATGTGTAGTCTTTTGAGGAACCTCCAAATGATCACAAACAAGGCCATATTAAAGCTACCAGCACAACTATGTTTGTTGCAGCATTATTCACCATAGCTAAGATAGGAAACCAATCTAGATGCCCCTCAGTAGATGAATGGATCAAGAAAATGTGAGATATATATATATATATATATATATATATATATATATATATATATATATAATGGAATTCTGTGCTTCCATCAGTAAGAATGACACCATTTGTTAGGAAATGGAAAGACTTGGAAAAAATCATATTAAGTGAAGTAAGCCAAACCCAAAGAAATGTAGGTCCCATGCTTTCCCTTATTTGCAATAATTAGTATACATCTAGGAAAATTTTATCAGATGAGCAGAAAAGCTCAAAAGCTATGTACATACGACCATATAAGATGATGCTAAGTGAAATGAACCCCAAGATATGAACACAAGAGCTCTTTCTTTGTTGCTGTCCTTTTTAAATGTACTATGTGATTTTTTTTTTGTTTCCTTTTGTTTCCTTTGTATGTTCTTCCCCTATGGTATATCCCCTGTTGTCACTGCACTGCATCTTGTATATACATTTGGCTAATTTGGGGAGGGGAAGGGGAAGAGCAAAACGCTGAAACAAGGATACAGGATGACCCATTGCAACAAGGCAGTATATTAGAAATAAACTTCACAACTTGGGGTGAGGGAGGAGTCGCGGAGGTGGGGGAGGGAAGGAATAGAGGGAGAACAACAAAGGAGGGGGTAACAATGTTCGACAGGATATGCACTCATTACCTTACTCATGTAACTGTAACCCCTCTGTAGCATCTTTACAATAAAAAAAAAAATTAAATCCGCAATTAACAGAGTTGTCAACACACTACATATGGCAGATCTTTGACATCAAAATTAAATATATACCTGGAAAAAAAGACAAGGGGGAAAATTCGGATACAGTTTCCAAATTTCTGAGTTTGGAAATTGGAAAGTGTCTATGAGCTGAAGTTATAAGTGATTTCCTTCCGTGTTTCCACAAGAATCCGTAAGAGTGGGTACAAAATGCTAGTTACCGGTGTCAGACCCACACACCATGTTTGGCAGGTAGCCGGCGCCCCCAGATGGCGCGGCCAGGACCGGGTAGACAGCGGAGGGGTCCCCTTTACAGGCTGGGCACACGGGGCGGAGCCTCCAGCTTCGCGCAATTCTTCGGTTCTCCCGGATGAACTGGAAACCGAAACTAGTCCGAGGAGTCCCGAAACGAAACTGATGGGGTGAGCCGGGGCGGCGCGCATCTGGGTCCCCCGCGCCCGAGCCTCTCGGAGCACCTCGAACCCTAGCCCCCAGCCCCCCGCGGCCCGCCGCGACCCCCATCCGGGCCCCGCACTCACCTGCCTGCTTCGCGCTCGGCACGCCCCTCCGGCCCAGCTGGCCGCAGCTGTTGTCCCCCAACGAGAGGACAGTGTGGTCGGTCAGCAGCAGCAGCGAGTGCCGTCCCCCGCTGGCCGCCTGCAGCACCTCGCTGCCTGCACCGCCCGCCGCCCCTTGGCGCTGCGGACCCGCAGACCCTGAGACCCAGGACCGGTACATCCCGCCGGCCACTGCCACCTGCACTGGCTGAGCGCGCTCCGCCCCACGGACTCTAGAGCGCCAGGGATGGGTGTGCCAAAGGCTGTGTGGTCCAGCCTCCCAGTGGGTCAGCCTGCTTCACAACCCGCCTCACCTGACTAGCGCAGCCCGGTCATCTAAGTCAGCTTAGCCTCTGACTACCCATGTTCCCAGTATGACCAGCAGAGGGTACAGCCTCTTTGGAGCTGTGCATTGCCAGGTAAATCCTCTAGGCATTCTGTGCCTTAGCTATTACATTTAGGACATGGACAGTAAGGAAAACAATGATCGAAGAGTGTTAAAGAGAGAGAGGAAGTTAAACGGGGGCTGGTGACTCACGCCTGTAAGCCTAGCTACTCAGGAGGCTTAGATCTGAGAACAGCAGTTCTAAACCAGCCTGCGCAGTTCAAAGCCTTGAGACTCTTATTTCCAATTAACCACCAGAAACATGGAAGTGGCACAAAGTGGTAGAGTGATATCCTTGAGCAAAAAAAGCACGGAGACAGCACCCAGGCCCCAAGTTCAAGCACCATGACCGACCAAAAAAAAAAAAAAAAGATAAAATACTTTCAAGGATGAGGTGTTTATTTTGGCTCAGGTTTCAGAGAGTTCAGTTGGTGGTTGCACGTCTTAATGCGCCTGTACAGAACATCACAGTGGTGGAATGTGTTTATTGTCTAATGGTAGATAGAAAATAGAGTGAGATCAACACAACCGGAGAGAAAGACACAGCCCCAGAAAGCATACCCTCAGTGACTTTCTTCCTCTAGTTGGAGTCCAGCTCCTGAAGTTTCCAGGTAGACTCTCCCAAAATAGTGCCACCAGTTAAGAAATAAACCTCTAATGCAGAAGTCCTTGGGCCGGACAAATCATTTTCAAACCAACACTTTTAACCTAGCTCCAAGAAGACTCATGTCTATCTCATAGTACAAAATACAATTAGTCCATTCCCTAGAGACCCCACAGTCTGAATATCAAAGTTCAAAGTCATCTGTAGGATTGAAAGCAATCTCTGAGTTGTGAGACCCTGAAAAACAACTTGGGGAGGGGAGGTGTTAGGGGTAGGGAAAGTAGGAGAAAAATGAGGAACAAATGTAACTGTAACCCCTCTGTACCTCACCTTGACAATAAAATTAAAAAATTATTAGTAAAACAAACAATAGATAGCAAATTACAAGATACAGTGGCACAGCAAGAATATTCCCACTCCTAAAAATGGGAACATTAGAAATGAGAAATCAGGGTAAAGCAAGGCTAAAACCCTGCAGAACAAACAATACATCCTGTAGCTCCATGCCTAGTAACCAGAGGGTGTGGTAGTGTGATGTGAGCTCCAAAGTCATGCAGCAACTCTGTCTCTAGTGTCTTGCCAGTTGTAGCCTGTATGGCATCTATGCCTGGAGCTTCCCTTAAGCAGATATTTTCTGCTCCCGGCACCTTCAGCTTCACTCTCAGTTTCAGGCATCACCCACAAAGCTGTTGCTGAGGGAAACCTGACATTGCTTAGTGTTGTCTAGCTTCCCAGTCTTTCCTATGGAGTTCGACTAAAAGCATCCAAGACCTCATAATCCTGCCATGCTGAAGCCTGAAAAGTGAACATCCTAAAGAATGATGACAGGCTCTGATACCAACTTGAGTAGCTAGCTCCCCTCTCAGCCATGATGATGTCTACCTGTAAGTGTCTGGACACCTGTGCATGGTGTCAAATCCTGGGGAAATAGCTTCCTACATGAGCAAGTTGCTTTAGAAACAAAGAAAGCACTTTCCAATGTCAAAAATCTTTCGACTGGGTTTGCTATTTCACATTCTTGAGTCTGACATGGTGAGGGTCTGGCCAATTCCTGAGATATTCTCAAGGCATCATTACTATCGTTCCTATGCATACACAAAAAAGACTTACTTTTAGCATCAGAAATATCTTCTTCTGGGCAAATTGCTTGTTTTTCAAGTCATTCCACTCTGGTTTTTGATCCTTAGCTAGGAAGAGATTTTAATAACTGGCACAAAGACTAAATGTTATGTTACTTTTAAATTTCCTTCCTCAGATTAATTTGTCTATCATGTATGAACACAGCTTTCCTCAAAATCTCTGGTCACAGGTAAAAAGTAGATGAATTGTTAGGCTATAGCACAAAATAACTCTAGTTCAATTCCCAATTCAGACTAAGGCTAGGATGTAACACAAAGTAACTCTTGTTCAATTCCCAACAGACTAATGGCTAGGATGTAACACTAAATAACTCTAGTTCAATTCCCAATATAGACTGATGGCTAGGATGTAACACAAAATAATTCTAGTTTAATTCCCAATACAGACCTGTTCCCACTAGAAACTTCAGGTACAGTGTTACCAGCATCAGTTCTTCCTGAGGTCACAACAGAATTTCCTATTAAGTTCTGTTTTACAGACTTCTGGACTTACTTTAGCCTACTTCTGCAACCTTTTCCAAATTCCAAAGGCTTAAGAACCATATTGTCTCCAGGCACCGGTGGCTCACGCCTGTAATCCTAGCTACTCAGGAAGCGGGGATCTGAGAATCCTGGTTCAAAGCCAGCCCAGGCAGAAAAGTCCGTGAGACTCTGATCTCCAATAAACCACTAGAAAACCAGAGGTGGTGCTGTGGCTCAGAAGGTAGAGGGCTCACCTTGAGCCAAAGAGCACAGGGACAGCGCCCAGGCCCAGAGTTCAAGCCCCATGACCGACCATATTGTCGGGTTATCATAGCAATGATTTCACTTATATAGTTCCAACTTTCTGTGTTAGTTGGCATTATTCAAGAACTATGATTGAAATGCTCAAGAGAACAAATCAAAGGGAATAATTACATGTTTTAACTCAATTTCCAATGTTTCATCCTTTGTGATAGAGACAACATGGCAGAGGAGCTCAAAGCATGGACAGAAAGCAGATTCGAGCCCCAGAGATGTCTGGGACAACATATACCACAAAGGACCCATGCTACCAGGGACAAACTGCTTCCAGGTAGTTTTTCCTTCTAGAAGTGCCAGAACCTCTAAGAAAATCACCATAGCTAGGGGAACATGCTTTCAATACATAAACAATATATAAACATTACATCCAAACTATAACAGTGGGCGGGGGGCGGGGGGGAGAAGGGGAGAAAGAGGTTGGTAGCTTCCACAAATGGAATATATACTAAAGAAGATTTTAAAATGTTCAATTCAGAATAAGCTTATCAAAACAGAATAAATCCAGTGCTGTTCTAGCTTATATACATACATATTTATATACACAAATGCATACACACATATGCATACATATATACATACATATATATGTATACACACTCAGAATAATTATAATCACTTTCTGTCTGAACTCAAGTTGGCTTCTTCATAGATAATTTTTTAAATGACTAAAATGTATATTTCTAAAATGAATATATTGCTCTTGGTGAATATGTTCTTGTTCACAGATGTCCCTAAATGAATGGAATGTGACTTCACAATTGTCTTTGAAACATCTTTCATAACCAAAAATCTTCACATCCTCAAATAAAATTCTTTTAAGTATTATAAATGATAGGTTTTACTTTAAATGCATTTAAAATATTTGTGTTATCTGTTAAAATAAACATTTATTCCTATTAGAAAATTCAAGGTAGAGATTGGATTTGATTCAAGACTAAAAGAAAAGATAATTATAATTTGGAAAGGAAATACCCTACCTTTGATTTATTGTAAAATTTCAAAAGTTATGAGATCATAAACTCAAGAAATAGTATTGTGATATGACATATTTCATTCCTTTTTATGGCTTATTTTTGTCCTCATTTATAAAGAAACAAATTTATCATTTTAATTATTCTGAAATATTAGTTCTGATCTGGAGATGAAGCTACTGATTGCATGCTTAGAATATTCAAGGCCTTAGGTCCTTGATTCAAGCCCAACCACTGAAGGGAAAGAAAATGGAAAGAAGGAAGAAGGGGAAAGGAAGGGGAGGGAAGGGGAAGCATGGGGAGGGCAGAGAGAGAGGGAGGAGAGAAGGAAGGAAGAAAGGAAGAAAGGGAAGTAGGAAGGAAGGAAGGGAGGGAAGGAGGGAAAAATACAGAGAGGGAAGGAGGAAAAGTAAGGAGGGGAGGAAAAGGGAAATATATGGTTCTGTTTTTACATATGTACCTAAACATTTTTGAGTGTCAATACCAAATTCATTAGGTAGATAAACTTAGTAAACCTAGAGCATAGAAGAAAAGGTAGGGCTACAGTACTCATGTCATGTTTTTCTTATTATTTCCTATGATATAGAATATCAAATAGTCCATGACTCTAGGACAAATTTTCTTGGAAACTTGGGATCAATCCCTATAAAGGCTGTCATGTGGATAGGTGCCCCTGTAATCAACTGTAGTCTGATATATTTGGGGATATTTAGATGACAACATGGATCAAAATTCTTGTGAATTGCAAACTTTCTCTTTGTTCAGTTCATGCTGATTTTCTCACATTAGTTCTCTGATTGTGGGGATTTCTTGAGAAATAATGTTCCCCCAATTTATTGATAATTATTTCTGTTTTCTCTAAGACATGTTTTCATGATTTTTTCTGTATGTTTACTTCTTCCCAGAGTTGTAGCTACATAGGGGCCTCAAAAGCAGAAACATCCTTTTTTATTAAAAAATTATTACCATATATAAGTTGAATAAAATAATGGGCTTAATCATGATATCTCCTATATGAAATAATGTACTTTGGTTATATTATTTCTACATTTCTTCTCTCATCACCTTTCTTACATACTACTTTTTCCCTTTCTCTTCTCTGAAGTTTCTCTTCTACTTTTCTATCTTCTTTTAGAAGACTCCACATATGAGAGAAAAAAATGTGATATTTTTTCTAAGGCTAGTTTATTTTCTTAAATGTTGATCTCCAATTACATCAATTTTCCTGCAAGTGACATATATGTCATATATATATGTGTGTGTGTTTGTGTGTGTGTGTGTGTGTGTTTCACGTTTATCTGATAATATCTACTTA